GTGCAGAACCGGCTGTTCGTCGACCGCTCATCGGAGCTCGACACTCGCCGCTGTGGCGCGCGGTGGGTTTCTTCGCCGCCGCGCTGCAGCCACTCTTTTTTAAATAAATAATATGTAGTGACTTATAAGTAACTTCACCCCCGCGATTATCAGCATCAACCGCTGGAGCCGTGGGCTTGATGCGGTATCGTAAAAGCATGACCGAGATCACACCGATATCGCCGCCTTAACCCAGCACCAGGCTAAGGTGTAAAATTAGTAAGGACAAGAAAAGGGAACAGTAGCTCGTTAGATCAATATTTTTCAGCTAATCATCTAGCTGAGTGATTTATGATTTTAAAAAAGAACATTGCGATTTGTGTAAGTATTCAATTTAGCCCAGAGCCTAAGTACGTTTAGGTACTTAGGGTATATTCACGAGGCTTATAGCCTGCGTCATATATTTAGCTATTTTTGTAGAGAAAGTCACGACGAATAGGTCTGCGAATCGGGACCTTGCGGTGCATAAGATTCCCTAATATATTAGATGATATCTCCTACTGCAGTATCTGATATCGGAGCAGGACGTGCGGTTGGTTTCATACCGATTATCACAAACCCAGCATGTGGACATAATGGGTTACGTCCGCTGTCTGCGACTCTACTTATCTTACTCATCTTTAAGTGCGTCCCGACGACTTCTATTGCTCTTCTCGCGGGGCTGGGGAAGCCGTTTGTCAGTTGTAGTTAGATCTGCAATTATCCGAGTTCCTATAATAATATGAGCCAATATGAGATAGTGCGTACTGGGCAGTACCTACTGGTCCACTTCCAGCGAATATATTAATATCTTACGAAAGATTAGATCAAGTCGTAAACTGGGTGCAACTATCTCGAGACCCATAACAGTTGTCGAATATCAACTCTGCACATTATCCCAAAGCATTTCTTACTTCAGTGTTATTGTGCTTCAACTTCATCGCTGATAACAACAACGATGTTTGTAGGAAGCAATAATATATGACAGCGTGCACGTTTGGATAGGCATCTGACATCAATCTACAGTAGAAGGAAAAAAAAGAATAGGCATCCATCAAAACCTGTAAGTGTCATTCAGACCGATTCGATCGATTGCTGTATGATGTTGTGTGAATGTTGTTTGATGTCATCCGCACGGGGGTGAAGTGACGAATGTAGCGTGAATGTCGTTCGATGTCATCCAAAAACCTTCCCAATGTGAATAGCACAACTTTGCTAATGTTAACGGGAAATTGCGCGCGCGGAGTCTGCTGCTTGTTTTACTTTTAAGTACTTACTTGGCTACGAGATATCCGACGATGTAAGCAAGCGTCGCAATTTTAATATCTCTCTCTGAGAAACAATGCATGCAGAAGAAAATCTGTGTCTGAAAGAGGAGGGTATAAGTTACTCGTCTTGCACTCACCGTCGCTGTAGTACACCAAAGCTGTGTATGAAAGAGGAGGGTATAAGTTACTCGTCTTGCACTCACCGTCGCTGTAGTACACCAAAGCTGTGTATGAAAGAGGAGGGTATAAGTTATGACTCATAGCAGATCATGACATCAAACAACATTCACTAATTTGGGTCGAAGCCCAGTCGTTGTAAAACAGAAATCATTGCATTCTTGTCGAGCTTCAGTGTTCGGAATCTCACAGCTTAGAAATAGCTATAATATACACAATTGCACCTTTATTATTTGTTCTAGTCGGCTTCAATATCCTTTATCTATCTATGATGTGCCGATGGTCCCGTGTAGCATGAATGTCGTTCGATGTCATCCGCCGGCAGGGGAAGCTACAAATGTAGCGCGAATGTCGTTCGATGTCATCCAAAAACCTTCCCCAATCGACAGTTCTTCGAACTGCGAATAGAATCCGGTCTGAATTACACTTACAGCTTTTGATAGATGCCTATTCGCCTCGGAGTTTCTTTTCCTTCTAGATTGATGCCAGGTGCCACCAGAGGAGTGGAGCTCCAGCACAAACATTTTATTGTTCGAAAGAATGCAATTCTTGCTATTGCACAGATAACGTTATGTACATGTACGTTGTTCGTCGTAGTAATGGCGTCTGTGACAATTAGAAGCCTCGATGCTGACCTTGAGCACAACTGGTGTCATTACCACATCACTGCATCGTATTAAACTGCATGCGGCTCCACAGCACTCAACATAGTACTCACTCATTTCATTAGTGTTAAAGCTATCGATTCAATCTGTTCAGTCCTGGGTCATAACTTATACCCTCCTCTTTCAGACACAGATTTTCTTCTGCATGCATAGAGATTTATTAAAAATCTTTTGGTCACCTAAGTTTGCCGTGACTTAAATTGTCGGCAGGCTGATATTGTGTGAATCCCCACACGCATTGGAATGTGTCTGGATGGATTAGATAAAACATTCCACTACAACTTCGCATAAGCTGTACATTGCGACCCGCAGAGATCCACCGAGCCCATTTACTACTGTAGAATAATCTTCTACTTTATCCTGTTCTTGTTAAAACAACTTCAAAGTACATTGTTACCGATATTAGTTCAGATCATCCTAATGCTACATGAATGCGGCACGTTCAGTTTAATACTTGATAAATGGCAATAACACAATTGGACGAATCGAAGCTGGGAGTTTTTGTTGTTGTTAGATATTCAGGCGATCCGGACAAAGTCTGTGTGCGGCCAGCGCATATAATTGACGTCGCATCAGAGTGCGGCGGTGTGCAATTTGAGAACGGTGGTCGTGACGGACAACGTACATGTACATAACGTTATCTGTGCAATAGCAAGAATTGCATTCTTTCGAACAATAAAATGTTTGTGCTGGAGCTCCACTCCTCTGGTGGCACCTGGCATCAATCTAGAAGGAAAAGAAGCTCCGAGGCGAATAGGCATCTATCAAAAGCTGTAAGTGTAATTCAGACCGAATTCTATTGAGTTCTGGATGATGTTGTGTGAATGTTGTTTGATTTCATCCGCACGGGAGTGAAGTGACGAATGTAGCGTGAATGTCGTTCGATGTCATCCAACAACCTTCCCCAATCGACAGTTCTTTGAACTGCGAATATTCACGCAATCCGCACGCTATAGCTAAAAGATTCCTGAAAAACACAGAGTCACTCAATAATGGAAGGCTTGTTGCGTTGTTTAACTTAGCAATGCGTGTGTTTCTTCTTATAGCTAAAATAACATTGAGCCAAGTTGTATTGGCAATATTGGTATTGCAATTAGTTCAGTCGAGGCATTAAAGGCCATCGGTAACGTTTCGACATGTTGTCGCGTACTCGCCACTAGCCTTCAGTACATCGTGTGTTATTGCTGCGGTGGTATGCCGTCCCGTTAGCCCCGTGGAACCACCAAGCCAACGAGTCCACTACTTCCAGGTAAGAAATACCGTGAGCTATAAATCTGAAAACGCAAAACATGGTTCCTGTATTGAAACGTTATTCACCGCACCGGGACGAGCACCGAGACGAGCACCGAGGTAGGCTTGTAACTGTCGAAGGGAGACGCTCTTCGGGGAAGAGGGCACTGACCCAAAGGTGCCCCGCATTTCAAAATTTTCAAATTTCAGAACTTTTCATCCCAGTTTGTATTGATTTAACTAGATCTCGTAGTACTTCCTAATGCCAGTAACTAGCCCTTGGAAAATGTGACTCTTTGCAGGTTTCTCCGCGAAGTACCACGTGCGCCACATACACTCGTCTTGGTAGCCAGCTACCACTGTTTTCCGCATACCACGAGCAGCTTTGATGCGCTGCTTGATCTTCACCTCCCAGACGCCCTCGATGCGGTTCGTATGGGCGCCAGTCGTGGGGTCCTTGAAGTGTTTCGTGTGGTTTACCCACAGGTGTTGGTACCGCATCCCACGCAGGTGTCTGTTGTTGGTAAGGGTGTATAACTTTCCTTTGTTGCGCCCACTCTGGACTTGGGTCACGTACGCCTTAAACATATCGGAGACAATCAAAGTACTGATAAACATGCATAAAGAGTTAGATATCTTGTCAAATCATACGCAGTTATACAGTCATTTCCCAGGTTTGATGTGAGCTTTAATCAAAGCAGACATAGTCGGCTCCGTCCGGTCGTTATAAACGACACGAGCGAACCACTTTTTAGTGATTCGGTCGACTCCGCCGAAGACCCAGAAGTCTGGGTGGCGGGTACCACGTCGGTACTTTTGCTTCTTCTTCAAGGACGTTTCGTCGATCTCGACCACGTGCCCAACCCCTCCGATCTAGCAGTTTAACATCATTGTTCAACCCGTTAAAAAATACAACCCAACACTACTTACAAAATAATATTTAGCAACAGAATAATGTACGATTTTACCTTCAGCAACGTCCGCTTCATCTCGGCGGTGCAGATGTCCTGGACATAGACATACCACTGCCCTGCCGTTGTCGGCGACACCTCCGCCTGCTGTGCTGCCGTTGTGACTGGGTGCTGGAACGCCCAGAACAACAGCAGCTTGATCAGCTTCGAGAGGGGAGCTGATGACCGGGCAAAGAAGGAGGAGGCCCGCACGCTTCTCTCCAGACTGCACCCCGTACGGGAGCAGCTCCAGCGCGTCCGCTTCACAGCGACGTACAACGTCATGCCATTGGTGCAGGTAGGACACAGAGGCGCGCTTGCCAGAAGTCCCACTCGCTGCGCCCACTCCAGCGCGCCCTTCTCCGTCGCGCACGCGCTCATCACAGAGTTGAAAGTGAAGAGCGCGTTGGAGGAAACATAATACTCGTGGGGGCTGGGTGTGGCGAGGGGGCTGCGACCCGGGCGGGCGGTGTACGTGGTGCGGGAAGTGCGGGGGGCCATGGTGCCGTGCTGGATGCGGGGTGATTCTGGTTGTGTGGCACTGACTCTTGGTTGCCAGAAGTTCGAAAGTATAATTTAGTTCTAATCTTTCTGAAATTTGAAAAAAAAAATTAAAATGCGAGGCGCCTTTGGGTCAGTGTCGGGAAGAGTTACGGGCAAAGAGTTCCCCACTTGCAACTCTCGTCGCAGCAATGGCCGAAGTCCACGGTCTTACTGATCGAAGCGCAGCAGGACTCGATCTTGCCCGTGCCGACGCCAGCGCAGGACGCGATACCGCTGCAGGATTGGGCGGCATTTGCGGACATGGAGCTGGCAACCACGGCCAAGATGACTGCAAAGTAGGTCTTGAAGTTCATGGAGTATTGGGGGGGCGTGTTGATGTCTGTTCCTTTTCAAAAGTGAGGCTGGTTCCTAACTGGATCATGCTCGCCGAGCATTGCTCGGATCATGATCCTCTTTCGACCGTTCTAATTGGCTGAGTTACCTACCGACTGGGACTTTGAAGCGTGTATAAGCGTTGCATGCTTTGGCTGCCATAACGCAAAACATGATGTCATGTTTGTCGCCAACGCAGCAGCAATCTCCATATGAATACTTCTCGCAATGTCATAACGAAATTTTGGATGGCGCCCGGCATTGCCCCGGTAGATGCAGCGGATAGAGTACATGTAATGCAAAAATACCAGTGGGGACTAAAGTTGCTTGCCTTCAGCAATGTAAAACTTTCGCCACTACTTGAACACCCACGGTAGAAGGGTCTCAAGCCGCCGATGCTACTCTGTTAATCACAGCAACAGGAACCAGGTTAGAGAACGAGACCAGTAGTAGCGAAAAGGGGTTGCAGGATCATTATTCGATTCGGAACACCCTACAGCGATTCCAGGACTCTATAGTTTCTCGTTAAACGTAAATAGATGATCTCTTACCCCCCCCCCCCCCTCAAAATCACAGCAACAGATACGGAGGAGTACCGATGCGACTTCGATGCAGGCGACATCGATTACGTCCGCTGACCATAACGCATTTGATGATGAGCTCAAGCACAGAAAGATTTTCAGGACAGGCTGTGCTTCCAAATCCGTCTCTAGAGTCTGGCTCGTTGGCAAGTCCATCTCGGAATCGAGTCCACATTTCCCATAACGGAATACATTCATGTAGTGGAGCGGAGAAGTCTTAAAAAAGGGAAAGCATGCACCTGACTTGCCTTATTCTACTGTTGCTGGTGGTACTTGCTGCCAACGTTAATCCTATTGTCGCGATCAAGCGGCAGTCCAGTGTCTCCCACACGAGCAGCCACCGCGTACTTACGGGCAAAACGACGCCAAGAGTGAAGAGTTTACATAGTCGGAGCGCAAGGATGACTTCGATTGCCACGGGATTCAAAACACTTCTTAGGAAGAACTCTGGCCTTAGAAACAACGTCGGTAGTCCGCGCCAGAATTCGGAAATAGTGAACACGTTGGAGAAGATGCCCGAAGTGAAAAAGATGCAGACGGCAGTGGAAAGCAACCCAACTCTTGTCAAGACGTTAAGCAACTCGGAATCGATCAAAAAGTTGGCCAAGGACTCTCAAGTCACGAAAGTATCGGCTGTGCTAGCAATTCGAAGCCGTTATATGTATGGTAATTGTTTAAGTTATTAAGTATTAATACCGTATTTCGGAAAGAAAGATACCCGTTTTTTTAGTTACAATTTACTGGCAGCTCTTCGACCTGTGACTTAACAAAATGTTGCGGCTTGTAACAAGCAATGAATGAGCCGATTACATTAACGCGGAAGTGGTGGTTGAGTGACGTTGATTGGCTGCTAAGCAATGCAAGGGCTTCGCGAATGCTGGAATAGGATTGGCTAGCTAACTTTTCACCGCCATTGATAAACTCAAACATCCTAATTAAAACCGCCGCTCGAATCACTTATTCAGCTCAGGTTACTTCTACGTGAACGACATCTTCTAGCGTTCCACTGACGATGGTGATACTTTGGATATTGGAGCGGACCTTGACTAAAACTCGTAGGTGATCGCTGGCCGACCCCTGATGCGGCCTCGCTATTCATGTTAGTTGGTAAAGCTTAGCTTAGTTTAGCTTAGCTTAGCTGTAGGAACTGTACCTAGCGCTGTTGGGTTTGACGGCGCAACACGGACATTTCGAGGTGCTGCAGTGGATATTTGGCGCACGAACGGATACGTGTACCATGGAGTGCAGTCCAATGAGTAAAGCTGTTGCGCATGGACACCTTACTAACATCGCGCAGTGGCTGCATACGGTCAAAGAAGAAGTAGATTGCTCGGTTGAAGCCTCGACAATGCAGCCCAAAATGGACAACTCAAACTGCTGGAATGGCTGCACTCGAAGAACCTCTTAACGTGTTCGACGAAAGCAATGGAGGGAGCTGCCCGAAACGGGCACTTGGAGGTAGTAAAGTTGTCATCACGTATGCTGCTCACCATTCGCCCTGACTCTAGCGCGGTCAGCAGTGGCAACCTAGAACTGGTGGAGTGGCTATATGAAAATGTTTTCCATCAAGTGCTACCAAGGCGCACCATTCATAAGACCTGCGGCTGCCCCTGGATGCGGCCACCTAGACGTGTTGAAATGGATGTACGAACACGTCACCTACTCGTTCAAAAGTCGTGACATGGACGCCGCTGCCAGCAGTGGCAACATGAATACTATCATGTGGCTCCATGAACATCGTTCTCCGGGGCGTGGGTGTTCCGTGTCGTCGTCGAAAGGATCCTAAAATGGTTCCACGCGCACTATCCGGGGCTCAGCAACAACAAAGCCGAGGTTGCAATGAAGTTTTCTAGTGAACATGCATTGCTCCTCTAGTAATGCCGCCAAGGTGCTAACAGCACCAACATGAACACTACTATTTCTTGAATTGATAAGAAAGAAAAACAAGCACTGGTTCCTTGCATTATTGCTAAGAAAAAAAACTAGCAGCGAAACCTCTCCACTTCGATATCATTTTCTTCATTTCTTGCACATGATCACTATACAGACAAATAAGCATATAAAGACATCAAAACGCTATCAAACCCTATCTTTCCTCTATATCACGATACGTGCTGCAAACACGCGACGCAGGCAGTGACCATTCGCCGACGTGCCCAAGCACCAAGCAAGCAAGCAGCAAGTCAAGAGAAGATCATGGCCTCGTCCTCCTCCTCCGCTCCGGCCGTGTGGGACTCGGCCACGCAGACGTTCCACGGCGGCCAGGACTGGAAGTTCCTCGCCAACTTCGCCGAGGACTTCAGCGTGACGACCAACGCGCTGGGCACGCCCGCGCAGGCGCTGGCCGCGGCCACGCAGGCCATGAGCACGGTGCACCACTACCCGCCCGCGGACTTCCAGCCGGCCATTAGCCACCTGGCCGAGTTCCTGTGGCCCGAGACGTGGCAGCAGGACCTGCCGCTGCTGCTCATGGGCAACGGCGCCAGCGAGCTCATCGACCTCGTGATCCGCAGCGTGCAGCCCGGCGGCTGGCGCCCCGGCGGCACCCTGACGCAGTACAAGGAGTACGAGCGCTCGAGCAAGGCCGACGGCCGCGAGACGCTGGCGTGGAACGACCCCAAGGCCGCGCTCACGTGCCTCGTGAACCCCACGAACCCCACGGGCGACTACATGGACGTGGAGCAGATGAAGAGCTACATTGAGACCCACTGCCCCGACGACCACACCATCATCATCGACGAGAGCATGCAGCCGTGGGTGGGCCCGCAGTGGCGCCAGGACTCGCTCATCCACCAGCGCGAGTGGGTGCAGCAGCTCAGCGAGACCCGCCGCATCAACGTCTGGGTCATGACGAGCTGGACCAAGATCTGGTCGTGCACGGGGCTGCGCATCGGCAGCGTCGTGGCGCCCACGCCCGCGCACGCCGCCGAGATCAAGCGCAAGCAGGTGCCGTGGTCCGTCAACTCGATGGCGCTGGCCTTCGTGTCCGCCGTGGTCAAGGACGACGCCTACCTGCAGCAGACGTGGGACGTGACCCCCAAGTGGCGCGCCAACGCCGTCGAGCAGCTCTCCAAGCGCTTCCCCACGTGGGAGTTCTTCGGCAAGTCCTTCCTGTCCTGGATCTGGATCGACACCAAGTCCGTCGAGACGTGCGACCAGGCCTGCAAGCTCGCCAAGGAGCACGGCGTGCCCGTGCGCAGCGGCAAGCCCGGCTACAACCTCCCCACCTACGTGCGCATCGCCGTCCGCAGCCCGGAGCAGACCGCCGTGCTGCTCAAGGCCTGGGAGCCGCTCCAGTAAGCTGCCTGCACATCAGTTCATCACAGGTATGCACCGTTATGGTCTACGGCTTACGACGTCAGCAGAAAAATACTATCCACAACATGCAGCCATTCCTTCGCCTCTCTAAGAAGGAAGTATCTTTTAATTAAGGGTCCACCTGCTCGCTCACTCTCTGTCGGGCGACATGCGGTGGTCCATGCGCTTGAACTTGCCCTCCCAGCCGCGCACCACGTCCGTGTACTTGTCGATCAGGTCGCTCTTCTCGGCCAGCTCCGCCTCGAGGTTGAGGATCTCCAGCTCCAGCTCGCTCTGCTGCTGTCGCCCTGTTGCGGCGGCGGTTGCAGCCAGCTCCGCGTCTGCGTCCGCTGCCTCGAGGCTCATGGAGGCCAGCGTGTCCGCCGTGTCGTTCAGGAACAGCTGCTCCAGCTGCTTGGCGTGCAGGAAGAACTCCTCGAGCCGCGCCTCGATCTCCGCCGTGTCGGCCGCGTCCCGCACCGGGTTGAAGCGGCAGTGCGGCGGGTACTGGATGGGCGGACACACCAGCGACAGGCAGCTCGCGAACGCCGCGTTCATCTCCGACAGCGCCGTCTCGCCCGCCGACGCGGGGGTCGTCGCGGCGGCAGGCGCCGTGTCCTCTTGACCCTCTTCCACCTTCATCACTGTGCGAAATGAAATGAAATGGCGGCGATTATTATTATTGTTGAGGATGTCACTATTCACTTGTGTGACAAACGAGAAGATTTCTTGATTGAAGAACACATTTAGAAAAGAAAAAGAAGAAAGAGAAGAAGGAGAAGAAGGAGAAGAAGGAGAAGAGCTATCATGGCGGACGCTACTGGAATATCAGCTGCCCCAACTATCCAATCTGTCGAAGGTCTCGATCGATGGCTGGTGTATGAGAGTTATGGTTGGTGCTTCCCGCTGTATGGCGAACCGACGCACGATGCTAAGGGCAAATACAACCGCGCTTATGTGGTAGGCAGGGTGGATTTCCCACGCGCCTCGGATTTATCAATCATAAAGGGGCTGTTCGATATGAAGATTGGCGAGGTGGGCTCGTATTGGGACGCAGCGCAGCAAATCGAGTACAAATACGCCAAGATCAAGCTCAGAGACGTCTTCGCGTATTACACAGACGACGATGGCAAGCTCCGAGTACCACGCTGGAACTGCTTCAAGTTCGCAGTTGACGAGTACTTGGAGAGCAAGCAGGGCCAGGACTAGTTTTTCATTACGAGATGACGGGACCAACGATGGAGAACTGCGTGGAGAAGCCATAGCGACGTTGGAGTGGCCAGCACGACGTATTTGAGTTGAAAATTAAAGTTGTTTTGCCTTGCACAGTGACTGTTTGTTGCATACCGGATAGATGACTAGTAGGTGGCACAACAGATAGCATTATGTATGGAGTTTACAATAGTGGTTTCCCCTTAAAGATGAGCTACGGTCTTGGTCACGACTTGCATAGGAAAAAAAATTAAGTGTCGATGCCGTTGTGCTCGAGTATCAGGATTGTCTTGCTTGAATCAAGGGCGCGTTGGTCTCTTGGTGGGGACGGACCGGGTGGGCTCCTGCACGCGACTGTCCTTGGGTTTCTGGGCTGGCCGGTGCTGCTGGTGGGGCTGAATACTCGCGGCTAGTTAAGTTGAGCACGTAGAAGATTAGATTGCTGCTTGGATCAAAAGCAAAAAAGAGCGAACGCAGCTAACCCAGGCTCGCTGACAGCGATTTCGAGAGCGTGTTCAGCGCCGTCGGGTGGTCCACGGTGGTTTTGACGATGCTGCTTGTCATGCGGAAGAGCATTTTGCTCGCTTGGTCGTAGTTGTCTTGCTTCCCTTGCGCGTCTCCAGGAGAATCGGAAAGTGAGGCACAAGGAGAAGGCCGATCTACGGTGCGGCCCTTGGCGCAGAGATACCGAGACTGCAGCATGGAAGCTCCAGGCGGAAGAACCTCTCACTTGCTTCAACCTAGCGCTGACTGGTACTTTTCGATGCCGACGAGTTTACTTGCAGGACTTGTTGCTCATGAGAAGAATGCCAACTGCAGCTCCCAGCCCAGCACACATGCGTTGTAGACCGTGGTGACGGCACCGCAGTACAATGCATATACGGCGAAAATAGTTCCCCTCTAAACACGCGCGTTGAAGCGGTAAAGCACATGCATTGCTTGGTTTGCGCAGCCGTATCTGATACTGGGCTGCTTGCTCACCTGCCTGTGCGTGTAAGCCCGACCAAGGGCGGCAGCAAGTACCAACTTGCTGGTGCTTATCTGCTGTGAGAGGATCGCCTGTCTGCCGCTATCATGGAGCAACATGGATCGGCTTAGTGTATGCTATTGATACAATGCTACTGCCAGTCACTTGGAGGCGGCAGCTCCTCGTCGAATTGAGGCTCGACGTCCATCGGCTCCTCATCCGACTCCTCCCTTTCAAAGGAATCATATCTTTGAGGTGGCCCTTCCCCTCTAACTATCGTCGCTCTACCCGTCGTCTCCTCCTCCTCGTCGTCCTCGTCCATCATCATCTCGTCCTCGTCCAGATCTTCTTCGTCTTCGTCTTCCACTTCCTCCTCCTCGGACGAATTCGCCTGCATGAAGCGCATATCCGGGTCCACAGCCACTTCCCCGGCTCTGGAGCTGTCGGCGCCAGTCGCCACTGGCTGTTGCAGCATTGCGCCGGCCCCTTCACGGTGGAATTTCACTCCAATCGGCACCGCAGCCGGGCGGTTCACCAAAGCCTGCACCATGTTTTCCAGCGCGCGCTCTTCGCGCTCCAGCTCGTCCAAGTCCTGCGCATACGCGTCGGCTTCGCCTACACGGAACACGCCCCCGCTGGCGCCATACAGCTCGCTGATGCGCGGCGTCAGCGACGGGAACTGCCCTGCGCCGCGGAACTCCATCGTAGATCTTCCGACACTTTGGACAAAATGAATAATTATCAATTCTCAAAGGGAAAGTATCTGCCTCGTCACACGTCCACGTTGAAGTGTCTTTCCGCATTGGACGTTTGCTGTTTGAAGAGGAGGAACAAGCGAGTTTTACTTCTTCTCTTAGCTATAAAATAAAGCACGCATCGCTGCGCGTGCACACACGAAACACTGGGGCTACAACGGCTCCAGCCCCAAGCGCGCAGCGACTTACGCCGCCGGGTTGCTCATCGACGTCGAGGCAATAAGCTGACTGGTATTGCGCCGCCCAGAGTGCACGCTCACGCTGTAGACCAGCAGGTTCCCGCACCTCGCGCAGGCATTCGGGTTGCTGTCTGTTGTGTGCACGTGGCCGCAGGCGTCGCACGCCATGCCCGTGTACGTGGGCGCCAGCACCGGGAACCCGTTCACGTACTCGCGCTGCATGCCCAGCGCCTTGTCCAGCGCCCTCCACAGCGGCTCAGCAAGCGGACACGCGACCTCTCCGCCCAGAAGCTGTCGCGCGGTAACATTCGGCCCGTAGCACTTGGCGTTCAGCGACTTGCGCGTGCAAATGACACCGCCACTGAGTCCGATGCCTCCGTATAGACCCTTACTGTGGCTGTACGAGTAGTTGGGCGCAATGCCGCCAGGCCCAACATTCAGCGCAGCACTTGCAGCTCTCCCAATAGGCCCCACTGCAATATCCAACTCCGATCCCAGCTGCACTTGGCCATTCCGCGTGAACACCTTGACTGCGCTCCTCGAGTTCAAGATGATCATATAGTTGACAACCTCTCCGCCCGCCATCATACCGAAGCCAAAGCCTCCGGACGTCAAGAAACTCGGCGCCGACCAGCCTCCCGTCGTCCGCGAGAGGATGAAGCCCGTTCCAACCTTGCCCGAGAACAAGAAGCCCACCTTGTACATGGTGATGAACACGAGCCCGTAGGCTTCCGCCAGCAGCTCGTGCGGGATGGACTGGTCCTTCAGCAGCTTCGGGGACAGGAACGACTCCACCACGCTCGCCGCCTTGTCCATCTCCTTCTTCAGCTTCGCCGTGGCCTTCACGCTCATGGTGTGGCCGTTGCCCGGCAGGTGCGAGCGCATGGACTCCATGACCGCCAGCGAGTTGGAGCGTTCTCGCAGCACCGCCGCCGCCTCTTCCGGCGTCAGACGCGTAGGGACCTCGGACGCCGCCCGACTCAGCAGTGCGTCGTCCGCCGTGTCGGCTCTGGCCAGCGTCGCGCGCTGCTGCAGCTGCTCCTCCTGCTGCTGCTTCTGCTGCAGGATCAGCGCCTTGGTGGACGGCTTCCGCATCGGGTGCGGCGGGCGCTGCGACCCGTTGCTGCTGGCGACCGAGGACGCCGAGGACGTGAAGGATCCCGGCTTGGAGAGAGGCGGCACGGCAGCAGCGGCGTACGGGGAGTTGAGCATGGCTGGCTGGAGGAGGGAGGGAGGTCTTGGCAGTGCCAGGCGGTTGCGACGTCCCGTCGAGCAGGAGCGTCGATGATGCGGGCACGTGCAATGAGCTGCTCGGGTTCAATGGCCTGGTCACCAGACTCGCTCTTTTTTTTTTTCTGAGCATAGAGGATGGAAATAGACCTGACGGATTTTCCTTCTTTTTCCTAGACCGCGGTGTGCGCCACACCAACATAACCTCACAGCCCGCAATGGAGAACCATGGAGGAGGACACCAAGACGCTTGCTGCTTGCATGTTCACCATTTTTTTCTTCGTGTTTTTTCTTGTTTATTTCGTGTACTTAACTGCCCCCTGCGCACCAAACAGCTCGAAGCCTTTGAGCTCCAGCATCCTTTCCTTCGCATCTCGCTACAAAGTCCACGAGCTGCACGGCTGCACGACGTCACGTTCTTTCTCTTCCCTGCTGCTGCTTCACTCCGCCCTGGTTGATCTTCATCCGAATGAGCACCTGCATCCTAGTCTGCATTCACTGATCCTGGGCAGACTGCGCTTGGCATCCAGAGAGGAGAGAGACGAGCGCCGTCGAGCTGCGCAGAGAGCTCCACTTTAGCTCTGATTGCGGCAGGCCGCGTCGCTTAGCTCCAGTGGGTGCGGTGCTCCTCGTCGTTGGCCTTGACGCCCCACTTGACGGTGCCCACGAGCAGGAGCGTGGCCGGGATGAGCACGAGGCCGTTCTCCTTGATCTTGCGGACGGTCTTGTACGGCATGGTCGTGAAGAGGCTGCGCACCGGGTGCACCTCGTACGGCGACAGGTGGCGCACCGTGCGGCCGTACTCCTTGCCGAACTTGGACCAGAACTTGACGAGCTCCACGCTGGGCGGCATTGTTCTCTACGTGGGCTGAGGCTGAGCTGTCTTCCGCTGCGCTTCCGCTTGTGCTTCTGGTGGTGACCTCCAAGGGGGACGCCACCGTGCAGCGGACGAGCGGCCAGCAGGAAAAACCTCTCGCGAAATGTATGTCGGCGGCGAGGACAAGAAAAACCTCGAAGCGATGCACTGTACCATGAAAACGGTACTTTGTTGAGATTGTGTGTGCTACACATACGTACCCATCAAACGGTACCCATGATCATTTTAAAGTCACTTCAGTCACAAACTTCAGTCGTGACATTTCGCCGCTCGAAACCGCCCAAGGTGATCGATCACCTGCATGCAACTTGCAAGCCATGGGCGTGCAAAGCTTGCAAAATGCACTGCAAATGACGTGGTTATGAGCTTCACGTGTGGGTTGACTTAGTCGGCAGAAGGTTGCGTGCGGGCAGGCTGACTGTGGTTTCCGGGCGCCACACGGGCAATAATCACCACATCTGCCCGCCAACAATCCACTCCATGCAATGGAGGAATCAGAAACCAGCAGCAACCAATGGTGGCAATCGCCGCAGCAGCGGTGGCTAATGCTATAATATCCTGGCTCCGTTTCAAGCGAACATGACGCTCGGCTGAAGGAGCCGGTGCCTGGCAGCGGTTTCAACTCGATACAAGACTCGCCGCCACGTCAGCAACAGCCAAACGATCGATTTTTTCGGGGCGAGCCAAAACAACAGCAACGTGCCATGCCTATGGAATACGCTTACGGACACTTGCTCGCGCGACCTTGCTGCCTTCACAAACATCCCACCGGCAGCTGAATGACGTTTGTCTCGCGGGTCGGCGGCGGATTTTCACATTGATTTTCTAACCCATTTTGTAACCCACGAACCTCCATCTTCATATAAATGCATTTGTTCTTTTCGCGACCTTTTGGTCGAGTACTATGGTTTTCAACCTGCTATAACAAATATGTCAGCAAATAATGTCAGTTTCGAGCCTGGCGGGCTAGCCGGACAAAAAACGTCTGGAGACCGCCTTCAGATCATTCGCCGATTTCCTCGCTCGGCCCAAAGTCTTACTCGCTCGATTGACCGCGTGGTAGAAGCTCGACCGACAATGGCGTTCCGCAGACCTTTCTTCCTGCTCGTGGCGGCGCTGGCAGCCGCCGGCGCGGCCTCGGGCGAGCAGGCGGGCCACCACCACGGCCGCCACCACAAGAAGGCCGTGTCGGAGCTCGTAGCCCCGTCCTCGTCCGCCAGCGGCAGCCTGGAGGTGGCCGCCCCCGACGTCGGCAGCGGCAGCGCCCAGGACGTCGTGAGCCAGCAGGAGCCCGAGTGGAGCGGCAGCGACGACAGCGAAGAGGCCGAAGACGGCTCCGAGTCCGACGAGTCGGAGAGCGACGAGGGCGAAGAGGAGGAGAGCGACAGCGGAGAGGACGAAAGCGCGAGCGACGAGTCCGAGAGCGCCGAATCTGAGTCTGATTCGGCCTCGGAGGAGCAGGAAGAGGAGCAGAAGGAGAAGGAGGAGATCGTGGAGAAGAAGCACAAGAGCAGCAAGAAGAAGAGCAGCAAGCACAAGAAGGACGTCGTGGACGAGACCTCGAGCGCGGAGGTCGAGGGGAAGTCCGCTTCGGGCTCGTACGCTGACGTGGAGGTTACGATCGTGCAGGAGTCGGCCTCGGGCTCTCTTGACGGCTCGGTCGAGTTCGAGGAATCGGCTTCGGGATCGCTTGATGGCTCGGTGGAGTTTGTAGGCAGCGAGGAGGGCGAAGAAGAGGAGGAGGAGGAACAGGTGGAGAAGGAGGAAAGCGACAGCGAGTCGAAGGAGGGAAGCGAGAGTGAGGAAGACGAGGGAAGTGAGGAGGAAGGCAGCGAGGAGGAGGAAGAAGGAGGAAACGCCAGTGAGAGCGAGTCCGACGAGGGCAGCGCGAGCGAAGAGCAGGAGACGAAGCACAAGCACAAAAAGTCCAAGAAGGGCTTGATCAGTGATGCCATCGACACGGTGGCGAACGCTACGGAGAATGCGTACGAGCACGTCAAGAACGGCACCAAGGACGCGTACGAAGATGCGAAGGACTTCCTGAACGGCACCGAGTCCACCTCGGCCTCTGGCTCGAACGCGGAGTGGGTGGATGTCAACGACCTGGAAGGGGGAGAGGAATCCTACGACTCGGTCGACGAAGAGGAGGTGACGGACAAGAAGAAGAAGAGCAAGAAGGGTTTGATCGACGACGCTGTGGACTCGGTATCTAGCGCTGTGGGCGACGTCTACGAGCACGTAAAGAACGGCACGAAGGACGCGCTCGAGCACGCTAAGAATGCCACTGAGGATGCCTACGACAGCGCCAAGAGCACCACTCAGGACGCAGTCGATGACGTGAAGGACTTCTTGAACGGCTCGGAGTCGACTTCGTCTTCTGGGTCGGGGTCACTCGGCGACACAGTGACTGTGGACCCGCAGCAGCTGAACGACGAGAGCGTGGCCCTTGCTGCCGAAAAGGCTGAAGAGCGATCCACTTCGTTCATGGAGTACGGTGCGGTTGGCGGCGCATTTGTTGGTGTCATCGCCGTGGCATTCGCGTTTGCTGTCCGCAGGGTGCGCAACCGTACCTCTGGCGGCTCGATGCTGAACGAGGATGAGTCTGCTGCCGCCATGGCCGCTGAAACCAGCGCTGATGAGGATGCATCGGAGGACGAGAGTATGGAGACTGGCGCTCTTGTGAAGGACGACGCCGCAGACAAGGAGAACGAACACGAGGGCGAGGAGGAAGGCAAGTTCGAGGGAGCCGTATAAATCCCAGAACTGCCGACCGAGCTATAGCGTACAGTGCTCTTCGTAAAATGTATTTCTCTACGTTTGATGACAAGTTGCATTGTTTGCTGTGTTTGTAGTGATGGCTAGCTGAGCCATGGCGATGGCCATGGTGGTGCGTCCACAGATGTTATGGTATCATTACCGACGAAAGGGATAAGACTAGGCTGAGCTTGTCCACGGTATTTTTCCAAAGTATCTTGAGACCGAATCACTTGTCCAGCTGAGACCGAAACACTTGGTACATGTACGCTGACGTGAGCATGACAAAGCTTTCTTCAGCGACGACTGAGGTCTGGATTCTTCAACAAGTTGGACAACAGTGTACATGTACCAACGAGCGCCGCAAGCTGCACGTTGCACTGCAAGGTGCGAATCCTGCAGCCATCACGCTCGGTCAACTCGGCCATGGTGGACCCCGATGTCCTATCGTGGACACAGCGATGGAGGCTCATATCGCAGTGTCCGCAGCGGCCATGCACGACTCGACCTTGGGCGCGCAGATTTTGCGTCTCACTTCTGACCACGGCAGCCAAAACGCCGCGCAGTGTCCTACACGCTCGAACAGCGAGCACCGCGCCACCTGGTGCCGCCAATAGATTCACGGAGGGGCAACCGGATGGGCACCAAACCAAGTGCGGCACCACTGCCGAATCTCCGAGTGTACCCATGTTAAATAGTGGATATTGGACGTTTCCAGCCAATCACATCGCGCCATTTCGCGTCCGTTGGACACGGCCAATTTTTCGACCGAGCTCAACTAGCGAAAAGCGTAGGTTGCTGTACATGCGTGCCTACCGCCCACGGTTGGCGGTTTGACTCATACCGCTCCACTTATTCTTCATTCTGCATTTCGCTCCCAACTGAGCACAACACCAACCACCACCTACCACAACAAACTACAACAGTTCACAAGTCATGGCTCGCCAACCTCCGTCCATGTCGTTGCTCTTCCTGCTCATGCTGGGCCAACTGTCGCTGCTCGTCAGCGCCGCGGACTCGGCCAGCGACACGGTCGAGTCGCTGTTCGACTCGGCCAAGGGCATCAAGGTCGGCGGCAGCATCCTGGCCATCGCCGCCATTGCGGCCGGCGCCGTGATGGTCGTCATGGGCTACCGCCTCTTCCGGGCCACGCTCTTCGCCGTCGGCTTCGTGACCGGCGGCGTCGTGGTCGCCATGGTCGTGGAGCACGTGTTCGACGACAAGTCGTGGGTGGTCACGGCCTCCTGGATCGCCTTCGTGGTGGGCGGCCTCATCTGCGGCAGCATCGTCGTCTCGCTCTACACGTTGGGCATCTTCATCGCCGGCGCCGCGGCCGGCGTGGCGCTCGCCGTGATGATCCACAACTCGGTCGGCTACGAGATCTACCCGAGCCACCCGCAGGTCGTGCTCATCGTGCTGTGCATCGTGCTCGGCATCATCGGCGGAGTGCTGACGCTCAAGCTCGAGAAGCCCGTGCTGATCGTGGCCACCAGCCTCTTCGGCGCCGCCATCCTGGTCTGGGGCGTCGGCTACTTCGCCGGCGACTTCCCGTCCACCAGCGACCTTAAGGAGTACGCGTCCAAGGACATCAACGGCGACTGGGTCTACTCCATCCCGGACGCCTGGTGGGCCTACCTGGCCGGCATCCTCGTGCTCTTCGTGCTTGGCCTCTTCGTGCAGTTCCGCAAGACCGGCCGCGACGGCGTGTACCACAAGTCGCGCGCCCTGGGCCGCCAGACGCCCAATGTGCAGTACGTGGAGGCGGGCACTCCGCAGCAGAACGTTCACTACGGCAACCCGGTCAGCCACGTCTAAAGAAGATTTTGGGGAGACAGACCACTGCACCACACAACAACCAAGTAGGATGGATGTACCACTAGGCGAGTGCCTTGCCGTCAGCCAGGCACCCAACACCGAGATAAAAAACTTAAGAAACCTTTTTACACTTGCATTCGGTCCATTGCTTTCGACATTGAAGTGGTTTCTTGAGTTGGTGATCTTGAGCTGTTCCGACACTTCGGTCACATAGCATCAAGCCCAATGTCCCCGGTACGCTCGCAGCCGACTGCTATGCCAACTGCCAACTGCCATCTTTGTTGGCAAGCAACTGCAAACCAGTAAGCTACTTGGCCTTCTTTGGGAATGCGACGAAGTAGCCGCCGCGTATTGTACTTACTTACTTACTGTACGCCTGCTTTCAACTTCCAGGTATGAAGTTCTCAATTATCCGCTGGCCGCATGATAGAAGGAACAAGCACCCCTTGTGAAGGTCACGCTTTCGTCGTCGAATCTCGCAAGCTAATTTTCATGCAGGTTGGGTAACCGGTGGTCAGTGAGCAGTACAGTAAGTATGGCGATGGGAGCTCGTTACCAGCGTAGTGTACTCAATTTACCTTACTTCCAAAAACAATCAACAACAAACACAAATAGGGTAACCGGTAGGATTTGTCACGAGTTTGCCCAAGCAACCGGATGAACATCTCCAACTCACTTGCTCTTACAGTACCACCAGTCCTGAGTATCTACCTGGCATAATGGTCCGGCAAGAGCAGTAAACACTGGCAAAATTTCAAGAATGTCCTCCGTGCATCGAAGTTGCTAGAGGTTATTTCTTGCGATGATCTTGACTTTGAGTGGGAATTGAATGAGTTGTAGGACCACATACGTACATGGGTACATGCTGGCCGCTCACGAACTCGGCGTCTCCTGCCAGGAGCATTGAATGCACAACTTTGGATGAGACCCCGTCGACTATTATATCAACACTGCGTGCTCCAGCAATCGAAAATCAAAACCGTTTGCAAGTCCTCAATTTCGCAACGCCAATCAGACGTACGCAGCGCCGCTTCCGCTTCCTGCCCACGTGAATCCGCGTCACGAGTAGTTAACAGTCGACAGACGTGAGCCACTTACGTCTGTCGACTGTTAACGCGAATGCTTTGGCGATGGCTGACTTTCTCGTTTCTGGAGGCCCGAGGAATCCATCCCATTCTCTCAGTACTCTTTCACGCAAGAGCTCCAAGGAGTAGATTATCAGGCTGCTCGAAAGAAGCCTGAAATTCAGGGCCTAAATCATCATTAACCCCCTTCTCCAGCAAAGATACTTGGAGCTTGGGGCGAGGTGCAGTCGAGCTGGCTGGCACTCAAGTTGACCTTGCGTGGCTTTTCCTCGATGCTAGAGTACACAGCTCCGAGATAACCGTCAAGAAACCTTTTACATGTATCACACTTGCAGTTTTGCCTTTTGTCTTGAGTACCAAATCGAACGGGTTTGAGGGCACCCCACCACTTCAAAGATTGACACACTTTCGTGCGCGGGCCCACAGGTGCTTGCCATCCAGCCGGTTCCGACATTGCGTCTGCATCAACGCGAATTGAAGAATGCGAGCTAAATGTGTACCTGTTACAGCTACTGGTTGCTGTGGGGGTCCTGGCAAGTCTCATTCCCAAGGGGCATTCGCAACCAAGTGTAAGATTCCACATGCCCCCTTATCGCAGTGTCGAGACTCGGCGCGAGAGAGCAGGTCAAATTGTAACGCCAGCTGCATTATCCCGTGGCATTGCAGTCCCCCCTCATAGCGAACACAGCTTATTTCAGTGTAAAGCGAAGTTGAGACTGTCATTGAACAGCCAGCTGGCGAATAGGCTATCGAAGTTCGATTCGAACGGCGTTCGGTCGTTGAGCCTAAAAGCCACAGTAAGCATGACTTTGTGGCCCACAACTCGATCAAGCGCCTAATGCTGGCCATGTGGAATAGTGGTAGCGGAGCTCGAGCCGCATGGCACCGCTAGAACCAGTGCATTGCACAACTTAGCGCACTCGACTCCCATTATCCGATTCCCACCGCACGGTGCATTCGTCAGCGTCCCCAACATGGCGCGCTCGAACATGCTCGTGGTTATGCTAATGCTGCTGCTCGCGTCCAGCGCACAGGCCGCGTTGAACACCACGGCGACAGCAGCAGCAGCAGAAGACTCAATCTTCGACTCGACTAACGGCCTCGGACTGGGCGGCTCCATTCTAGCGGTGGTCGCCATCCTCCTCGGCGGAGGAATAATGTCGTTCGGGTACCGGTTCCTGTACGAGACGCTATTCGTCATCGGCTTCGCGCTTGGAGCTGTTGGCATCGCGGTGACTACCGAGAGTATGCTGGTCGGCAAGTCGTATATGGTTCTGGGCTCCTGGATTGCGTTCATCCTCGGCGGCGCAGTGTGCGGCGGCCTGGTCATGTGGGTGCACCCGAAGGGGAGTTTCATCGCTGGAGTGTCGGGAGGACTCACACTCGCAGTCCTCATCGCCAACTCAGCAGCGTGCTACGTTTTCCCCGGAAAGACTCAAGAGTTCTTCACGATTCTGTGCGTGGTGTTCGGCGTCCTCTTCGCTGCGTTCGACCTGAAGCACGGTAAACCGATTGAGGTCGTCGGGATCAGCCTCTTCGGCGCTGCCAGCCTTGTGTGGGGCGTTGGCTTCTTCGCTGGCGACTTCCCATTCCCGAACAACCTCGAGAAGTACGCAGTCAGGAACTCGAGCGGAGACTTGGTGTACTCTATCCCGACTGTCTGGTGGGCGTATCTCGGCAGCATTGTGGTGATCGCGGTGCTGGGCGCGTTCATTCAGTTCCGCAAGACTGGACGCAATGTGGCGCACGCGGGCATTGAGGACGAGTTTGAAGGCTTCAACCCCAACGGATTCGGGTACCCGATCGACGCTGTGCCGTTCATGGAAAACGACAAGCAGCGCCCGACGATTCCAGTGCTGGGTCAGTCCCAGACGGCCCCCACGACACGAGAGTCCGACTTCTCGTCGTCTTACCCCGCACACGAGTCGTTCTGCCGACTCTACTCGCGCAACACGGAGGCGCAGTCGCTCACCAAAATGAGGTCCAAGTTCTTGGAGGCAAGGGAACAGTCCTTGGCGACCAAGAGTCCGATGGACATGAGGCCAAGCGCGCAGCCGTCCACGTCGTCGTCGATTTATGAGCAGGCACTCTAATTAAATAGGCAGAAAAGCGGAAGACACTAATTTAAACAATGATTCAACATTCACGGTTGATGTTGCTGGTTGCATTCTCGTGCTGGATACTTCATAAGGGGATTGGCCAGTTTAGTAGAGCAAGCTGAATTTTTGACTTTGAAAAGTACTAAGTATTTTCTACTACTAGTATAGTAGAAAACTACTAATCTATATATATAGTAGAAAACTACTAATCTTTTGGAGATAAAACGTGTACACAATGAAAGCCCTAGATTTGCTCTAACATGTGCACCAATCCAGACACAGTTAGCAGCTATGAAAGTGCTATTGTAGCGCGCCAAAGAAAACATACCTACAGTATGCTGCGATCAGTTTAGTAGAGCGGAATAATACTGGTCTTTGTATCGAACTACCATATGGAAAAGCGAGGTACCGTAAACCACGGATTGAATGCAACACCCGTAAAAAGTTCTCGTCCTATTTAAATTGTTGGCAAATTCTGATTTTTTACTGCGTAAAAACCAAATGTGACCAGTTTGGGCATTATTTGGGGATTTGAAAAAAGAACAGCCTTTTCCATACAAATCTCAATATAAATATGGTGTGTCATGCGAGTGTATCTTATCTGTGCACTGTTCATAGTCAATTCCTGACAGTTTTTACGGTGTTGCATTCAATCCGTATGTTGCATTCAAGCCGTGGTTTACGGTAAGAGTTTTATTGCCAACCAAAGCACGTATTTCATTATTTCTGCAATATTACTGGTTCTACTAAGGAGCAGGTCGAAGTAAGAAAGTGATAAATTTAAACAGCGAAGAAAGAGCAAAGCCGGTCTACGTAGACACCGATTGAAATACCGCTTTATTCAGGTTATAAACCGGTAATACACTAGCAGCAGTGGCGATGAGCTCACCTGCTGCTGACGCGTCTTCCGTTGACGGCCCCTCACCACTGGGTGCGGCTGTCGTCAAGCCCCCTCGGCTTGCTTGGAGCAACTCTCGCCTTAAGACTCTACTGCACCTTCGAGTTGTCACGTACGGAGCGGCGTTTTCGCGCCATAACGCCCGGGCGCAACTCACGAGACTCTGAACGAAAATTCAGCGGTCAAGCGGCGTTGCTTTGCCTGAATTCCCGGGTATTTCTCCTGACAGTGAAAGTGATGGCGAGTTAGAGGGGGGGGGGGCGTCGGCGGCCCGTCCAGTGGACGCTGAATCTGAGACTGTCCTTGATGAGGTGAGCGATGAGGAGGGCAGCCATGACAGCGGCGATCTCGTCGAAGGCGGAGGTAGTGACGCTGGTGGTGCACATGAGGAGACCACCGCCGTTGAGGAGGAGCGCCATGCCGCTATGCGTAACAAACGCAAACTGGATCTACCTGAAGCTTTGGTGACGATGGAGACGACACTAGCAGCTGCCTTAGCCGCACCGGAGCATGCCACAGAACGTGCCAGTGTTTCGACGCAGCTCGCCAAAATTCAAAATTGAAAAGACCCAAGAGCTGATGGTAAGTGCGATTGAGGAATCAAAAAGGGTAAATGCTGCTCTGCTTGCTTTTCTTAGCAACAACACGCACCAGCAATAGGACTACATACTCTTCTCAATATATTCGTGGTAGAATTGGTCTAGATGTCCTGCCTAATATATTCGTGGTAGAATTTGTCTACATGTTCTGCCTAATATGAAACAGTTGGCGGGAACCCGGGTTCCAGCAAATGATACCGACCAAATCGCGAATTATTTATTTTTAGTCAGAGCCATCCTATCCAAATGCGAAACTACTTGTGCTGAGAACAAAGCTGCCATTTTCAGCTTGGCTTCAAACGCGGCAAGATGCAGCGACGCGGGGGAGGTTCGCAAACAACCGCCCCTCTCCGTAAACGACAGAAAGGGCCTGATCGAGAAGAAGCTGCACGTCTTCGAGCCATCGCAAAGCTAGGTGAAGATGTAGTAAAGAAGATCAGAAGCGACTGGGACTCTTGGGACACGAGCTACGGGGGCAAGGAATGGCAGCAGTCAGAGGGTGTAGTGCTTAATCTACTGCAGCAGTTATCCGATCGTGAAATCAGATCCATTCTTCCTATCGGCGGTAGTCGAGGTACGCGTCTGCGCAAAAGTTTAAAGTCTGGCGTTGAGCACTTTCACACTCGCCGTCCTGCTCAGAAGCCTTGGCACGCTTTTGGAGACGTTGCATCAGAATCGTTTAAAGCTCATTGCTCCACTTGGATTTTGGAAGATGGTTTTCCATGTCCCCATCGCCGCCCCCGACAATATTTTACGGAGGAAAATTTAACTTGGCGAACGGTACACGCTCGCTACGAGGACGATACCAAAGGAAATGATCCTGACGCGCGCACGATGAGTTACGAGCGGTTCACTCAGTATGTGCACTTCTACTATCCCGGCGTGCGCTTGACCCGAACCAAAGTGGACGAGTGCGATTGTTGCGTGCGTTTGGACATTATGTTGCAGCAGCCAGATCTTACTGACGCCGAAAAGGACGCCATCATTTTGAGGAAGAGTACCCACATCGAGGAGGCTATAGCGCAGCGGCGTTTTGTGTCTAAATTTGTGAAGGAGTTCTCGGCTCTGCATGCCCCCGAACAGGATCTACCAGAAACTATTATCCCGGACATCTTTGATTGCGATGATGACAGATCTAATGATGACAAAGTGTCTGAAGATGATATTTCTGCCATCCCGAAGCAACAACGAGTGCAAATACAAGCTGAAGACTATGGCAGCGGTATTTCGATGCCTCATTACGGCCACTCACGACCATCAGCCGACTACTTCAACAGTCCTTTGATTATCCAGAATTTCGTCGTCGCTGACATCACGAACAACATCAACCACGTATATTTCTATGATGAGCGGGCCCAAGGCAAAAACGCAGACACCCTTTGCAGCCTAAGACTACTCTATCACTTGTCGACTCTGCAAAAAAATGCGAGGAACGGCGTGCCTCCACCCGAAGTCAGCTTCAGCATTCTCAACAACTGCGTCGGACAAAACAAATCGATGATAGTGATGATGTTTTTGCTATGCTGTCAGTGGTATTTCCCTACCAGCAAGTTGTTTTGTGCTTTTTGTTGCCGGGTCATTCGCATAACATCGCTGATCGGGTTATCGCGTGGTGTCGCCGTGCCGTACACAAACAGAATGTGTACACACCCGCTGGACTTGTCGAAGAAGTCAACAAAGTCAAGAGTGTTGAGGGTGTCTTCCTCGACCACAATGATTCTTCTCGACCATTTTTCACAGGATGGGGGGACTTACTGGCAAAATATTTTACTGCACCTCCTGCTGGATACACAGCCAACTACCTGTTTGAAATTGATGAAGGGGTCTGTACTGCTCGCAAAACGGTGAATACGCCAGACGATGAGTCGATTACATTTTCTATGATTTCGCAGAGCAACCTTGCCAACATTCGAAAGGCTGTTATTGCAGAGCTGTTTGGACCAAATGTAAGAAGCATTTGGGAGGCGTCTATCGCGAGCGTCCAGCTTCCACGCCATCAAACTATGGAGCTGTCGGAGAAAAAGCAGAAATCACTGGCCGCGAAGTATTTTTCGATCCCCAAAAAGTATCTCGATTACTATCCTGCCGTGCCTGAGGCCATTCTGAATGCACCGGAAAGTGCCGATGAAGACGCTGATCATTCCACCACCGAGCGGGCAACAGCCAAGTGTCGACCCGGCCGCCCCAAGAAGAAGAAAACGAAACTTAAGGCAAACCAGCCTTCCATTCTCCAGTTCTTTTCCGCCAAACCAAAACAGACTTCGTCGTAGGGCGTACTCGAATAAGCTTACTTCATTTCAGTATACATTGACCTTACATATGTATCGGTTGTTTTGGGGGAACCGGGGTCCCGATGGGTACCCGGGTTCCCGCCAATTGTTTCATATATTCGTGGTAGAGTTTGTCTGCTGTAGCTTCTCACTTGTCGCTGGAGCAGACGGCGGCTATCACTAGCGACACTGCGGCCACCAGCGTTACTTTCCTTGGGGAGCCTCTCATCCGTCCTGCGCTTTTTTTTAATGCGTCAACAAAAGACCATCGCGTGGTCGCCAAATTAAAGCGCAAATCGCTTTAATTTGAAGAGCAAGTGAACGTCACATCGCCCAATTAAAACGCGTTTAGCTCTTTAATTTTATCACTTTTTTTACTTCGACCTGCTCCTAAACTGGTCAATTCTACTAAACTGGCCAAAACCCTTAGTGGAGGGTCCACTGCCCCCGCCCTCTAGATAAAATCGATAAATTTATCAATCACCATTATCATGGCTTGTATAGAAGCAAAGCCAGTCTTGGTTTAACCCTTTCAGGCCATCGTTAAAAAAAACGCTACCGTAGTAGGGCGGAACGATGAAGTCTTATTTATCTCGAACTCCTTTATCTATCGGTAGCGAGCGGTTGCGAGGAGCATAGCCAAGAAGCATGTCGGCGTAGAAGGACCCAACGACTAGCATTCCAGCCAGCGAACCCGTTCCAGCAACTCGGAGCTATTGTAGTGCGGACTCTAGGGGTGCAACGCCAGGATATAAGAAGACCGACCTGCGTCACTGCCAAGAGCTCTCCTGGCAGGGGAGCTAGCAGACGAGCTTCACAGAGTGCAGATAACACAGTACACTTTAAGTGTTTCATGCATTTTTAAAATGCATTAAAATGCATGAAACAGGGTATTGGACTAAGTCTACTGCGAAGCTTTGCGTCGACAGTGTGGACGACAAAGTATTTTATTAGCTGGGACGGAGCATTTTGGCTGTGATTACTACCGCGGTAAGCACATTATCATTAATATAGGAAGCGGCTAAGACGCTCATCTGTCGTAACCCCTTATTAGCTATTAATAAATAGGGCCCCGTGAAGGCTGAGATAGGAGGATTTTGGGGTGTGTTCCTCAGTTCCGCTGTTTGATTCCGTCAGATTGAGCAATCCGCCAATTGAGAAGCATTCAGCGGATTCCGCCATCCGCTAGACGGGATGAGGAACACGTCCACCGGCATCTGCTACCCTCCAAATTGCACTGTAAAATTACATTAGACCACGTGTATTATGGGATAGAGTGTATGCAATTAGAGGTTCACTTAGTTGCCTTTACTTTGACCTAAGCTTACGTCAAGTCCTCCGCCAAGCCCTTGTTTGCCAAAAGGCTTCGAGCACTCGGATCGTTGCTGGACTGCAATACTCACTGTCATATCTACCGCGTGTTGTGCGCTGTCTTTGCTCTTCACCCTCGTTTGCCGGGGCACTTCCCTTCGTCTTCTCCTCCTCGTTGTACTTACTGAGTGCCTAGGCCCCTGCAGTAGTCGCCTTGCTTGCTTGCTTTGCCCGCAAGTTTACTGAATGCAGTCAGTCTTCCCTGTACGGCAAACTGTAAGGGGCTATGAAATCAAAGTGCCAGATCAGCAGTGCATTTTTACAGCATAAGCTCAGAACACATCCTTATCACAATAAGCTGATGCAATTGCGTGCGTAAAGCGAAATCGTTGAGCTACACTTCCTAACGACGACCTGTCGTCAAGACAGCACGTAAGCAGGTCAGTTGGCCACTGCTTTGGTGTAGGGGACTCGATCTTGCTCGTGACTCGTGAGCAGGACTCGCCAATACTCTGAATACAGCTGCTACTTCCAGTGACGTTACGACATAACTTACTGACACTAACAATTCAAACGAAAGGATGTCGGTATGCCCATCAGCGTAGGAAGTTGGGGTATCTTACAACAAACTAACAAAATGTCTTTCATCAGCACCGCAAATTGTGATTCACAACGGGCGAACGCTCCAAAATTTATTGAGGACGAGTCTGTGGGAGTCAACTACTCACTATCCAGCTCCACAGTGTCCGTCAACTTTAAACCGTCTGCGGCTACGTCTACTGGTGCCTACGGTGCATGACGCGGGATCTGGAAACAGCGAGATGCTTCCGAGCGAGGACAAGCCTCAATGACTAACGATAACGCAGATCCCTTCACGCTACATTTGCGGATGGTGCCTAAACGCATCTAAACGTAAAAGGCTGTATTTGATAGTGTAGGAGGTGCATGTAGAAGTTTAGTAGCTGGCCGCTTGTCAAGAGGCCTGTCGTACTTGAGATCGCCGTCAGACTACTTGCTGTCGGCGTGGTCCATGTCCGCCGTGTGCTCGTCGTCGTGCTCGTTTTGGTCTCGTCGTCCTCGATGAACTTGCTGTGCTCCTTGGTGTAGTGGGCCTACTTTGGCTCACTACTTTAGCTTACACGTGTGCGCGTGTATGTGAGGAAGCGTAGCTTAGTTTAAATTAGAGTTAATTATACTCGGGCCTCCGAGTATAGATTAATCTAAATAAACGATCCAAATAATGTTTTTAGGTTAAAATGATTCTTAGACGGAACTCGTTAGACAAATGTCAGACAGCACAATATATATTATGTTTGATAGGTAGTGTTGAGCTAAGGCGTTTTGGCAGGCTGTGTTGGTCGCATTAGCGAACGTTCGGCGCAAGACACAGAGCTCTTCGGTGCTTCCCCTACTGATTGCAAGTGCCGACATGTGCTAGGCCCCGGCGACGTGCAAGCTCCTTCTGGCGTCATGGCCCCGGCGACGTGCAAGACGCTGCTGGTGGCGACCGCGCCGCGCCCGCGCAGTTACTTCAGCAACGTTTGCCAGGTAAGCACCATCATCATCGATAGCCCAAACACACGCGCCACTTCGCGCCCATCAAGACCACGGCTCGCTCAGGAGAACAGGACAAGGACGGCTAGCGCAGCCACAAGAATGTGCACATCGAGGACCTCAAGCTGCGCGCGAAGGTGACCGAGAAGCTGCGCGTGGCACAAGAGCTGCTCGTGTTCACGATCACCTCCGAAGAGCACCACACGCACGGACATCGTGGGGCTCAAGGGCGCGCTGGTCAAGACCGAGTTATCATTGCTCCCCATGCCCCTATTCAGCAATCAACGAGGCTATACACGAGCTGAGCAGCAATGAGCAGTTGGTAATATCATATGCAAATAACGTGGTTCTCATAAGCGCGTCATGATTGTTCTCATTGCTATGGATCATCATTAGTTGACTGTTCTTTTTGCTTTTTTTCGCAGTAGCTTTCCTACTGTCGCCCAGCTGAGTTGCCCACGACGGCGTTTTCGTGAGTGTTCCGTAATATCGTCCACGGTGACGCTATCCGCACAGGCTAAGAAGACTTGAGTCGCTGCGTCGATGGACTGGCCAAGTTGAAGCAGATTTTTAGATGCGGCATCATTCTCGATCTTGCGCATGAGAAAGCGGAGCTGGCTTAGGCTCTTTTGTAGAATTCGACTAGGCATATCGCGGCCGACAAGAATGCGGAGAGGTGGAACTTGCTTGGCCTTATTTCCACACATCCAAAGCACCCATGCATGACGAACAGAGCAGTCAGGGATCCCAAAATCAGCAGGCACGCGACGGAATTTGCCACCCCAGAAGTGGCACATCTGGCGCTCGGCCTCTGCACCACTAGCCAGCAACACCGGTATCACGAAGGCATGCCCTAATAGCGTCATTCAGCCCGTCGTAAGTAACTGTCCCTGCTCCGATAGCCCTCTTCTCCAGCTCTGATATGATGTCCTGGACAGTATCAAGCCGCGTAGCTTCGCTACTGCCGCAAAGTCCAGAGGGACAATACGGCGATCCTGGGTGACGAGGGCCTTGATCGTAGTGCGCAGCTGCTGCAGGCTTCCGTCAGCCGTATTACCGAGGGCTTCGAGAAATGGCTGGGGTGCGAGGTGCGGCTTGTTGCGGACAAGCCAAGCGAGGAAACGGCAGTACGAGTTCTGGTACGTGGCGCGTGAGCGTGCGGTGACGGTATTGTCGCGAATCTCGCGCACGGTGGTCTCTAACTTCTCCCAACCATGGCCTTCCATTCTGGTTCGACAAGTATCTGACTTCTTCTGTGCGAATTGCGGTTTGCTCCCTGGTCACACACTCAAACAGGGAGACGAATTGAGACCACGGAAAATGTCTGACCTTGTGTCTAACCAAAGTATCAATGTGGACCACATTGTCGTACTAATTTTGGGGAATGAGAACTGCTATTTTTGTTTTATGTTTCTGACTTCCTCTAAATGTAATATTCTAAGATAGGAATCTGCCAACGGCTGGTTGGCAGAATTCCAATGCTATGCATGTCGCTCATTGGCTAAGAGATGCTGCTCTCAGCCAATAGGAATCCTAAGTCTCTATGGACCACCCGTCGTGGTGGTCGTAAATGTATGTAGCCTTTGGTGTATCTACACCAAGGTCGAGGAAGTCTTTCGAACCCCTAACAGACGTCGTGTCTGTTAGAGTTACAAGTGACTGTAGCCACTTGTGCGTGTAACCCTGTTACACCATCCCCCCCTCAAGGTTAGACGCGCCGAGTCACGGCACGTCAATCAGGAAATTGACCATTCGTCAATTCTTCACGTTGGGAGAAAGAAAACTCGAGCTCATTCCGCAATGAGCTCGCCGCAGAAGAAGACCGTCGCCGCAACAGAGGGTAACCTCTCTGTTGCTCAGTACCATGAGCGCCAGCAGGCAAAGCGCGACGCGCTCGCTGCAAAGGCCGCGTCGGGGACAACCCAGTCGGAGATTGTCCTCGAAGGTTCCTCTGTAGTCAGTGACGCCGTTGACTACGAGAGTGACGACGTAGAGATGGAAGAGGGCGAAGCCTCTTCCAACAAGCGCAAGGAGTCTATCGACAGTGATAGTCTCGACCCGCATGCCGGGTCGAGACGCTCTCGTGAAGGAGACGATTCGGACGCTTCAAGCTCGAAGCGTTCGCGCGGCGAGACCGAAACTCCGCTCTCCGCTGCTGGGGCCTTAAGCTCCCCGCGTGAGGTGGCGTCTTCAAGTTCTCTGCGCGCTGCTCAGGCAGCGCGCGATCCGTGGATGCTGTCTGCGTCAGAGATCTGTGCCTCCAAATTCCGCTGTACGTATGCAGCGGGATCCACGATGATGCTGTGGCGGAGGAGCAGCATTTTGATCCGTTAACGAATCAAAGGCGCGATTACTATATCGGACTCTTTCACGAGCTCCGATACTTCTCCAGCAAGAAGACCTCTTCTCGCAGCAAAGTGCCTGAGTGGCAGGCACTTTGTCAAAGTTGGAATGCTTTTGTTGAGAACTTCAACAAGAAGCCGGTTGCTTACCGTGAGCGGGTTAAGCATGCCCGTGAGCGCTTCGAGACATTCTCGACGCGCGGGAGGCTGGAGCAGCTCCACAGATCCTCTGTGGACGCTGGTATTCCATGCGCTGTGCCCGAAGGCCATCAGTGCACGGTGCGGTGCGCTTGAGCGACCGCGACCTAAACGGGTACACGATGATTCGTGTACCTGAGAGTCTCAAGGATCTCCGTGCCAAGTTCTTGGCACGCGAGGAACGCGACGATCGTGGGACCTCGGGCGCTGTAGGTGACACAGCGCTCGCACTACCTTCGCGTCGGCAGCTTCGTACGCCCTCACCATTTCCGGAACGTCCTGCAGCAGGACGTCCCGTGGCTCCCATGTATCTTGGTGGGACGGAAACCCTCTCCAACGAATACGATAACGAACCGGCTGCCGGTTCGTTTTCGGGATACTATGGTTCACAATACGCTCAACAATCCAGTGTGTTGAGCCGCGGGCGTCGCGGATCGGAGGCGGCGGTGGTGGGAACACGCCCCGGGTATGGTCAACCAGGGGTTGACCTTGGCCCGACGCTCGAGGAGCGGGTCGCTGCTGTGGAACAGCGTCAAAGCCGGGAGTTCGCCGCTCTGATGCAGGAGGTGGCGATCCTGAGGGCTCAAGTCGCTCAGGCCTCGCAGACCGCATCGGACATCTCTGTCGACGTGGGAGGTCGCATCGCACGCTTGGCCCAGCGCGTTTACGCGCTGGAGCAGAGGTTCGCTCCCGCTGGGGCTTCCGCTTCGGGCCAGCCGAGCTAGGTGGCTCGTGCGGCAGGTATGGCTTCAGCCGCCCGACGTAAAAGGTCGGATGGAAGCGCATGCTAGATGGAATATCTAGCGTGTAGGCGTTGCCATGCCGTACCAACACCGTGAACGGCCCGATGAAGCGCGGAGCGAGCTTGCTCGCCCCGGAGTCGGAAACTGCATGTTTAGGCAGGTTTTGAGTTGCTAACAAGACCAATGAATCCTTCTTGAATTCATTAGTGTTGCCCCTACCAACATTGTCTGCGTTCAGCTTCTGTCGACCGACAGAAGCTGCGATAGCGTCTTGGACAAACCGAATGACGGCTTGTCTGCGCTGCACGAGTTGATTGCGTCCAAGCTGAACTCGTTCAGCTCGTTTCTTGCAGTAGGCCCGGCCTCTGCGTTCGTCTTTGCGGTGTCTGTGCCCTGCACAGACCCGTTCTTCTTCTTCTTCTTCTTGCTCTTGTCGACGTCTGTGGAGGGCACAGACGCGTGCTTCTTCTTCTTGTTGCGCGTAGTCGCGGCTGACACTATGCAAGTGTCAGCAGCATTCTGCGACTGCTGCGTTGCAGTCGTAGATCCTCCCCCACTTAAGGAAGGAGCCACCATCCCGAGTAGACTCGGGAGGCGTGGGTGCCTGATGGCATTCACGTAGAACGGTGTATGCCCGGTCGAGGCATGCACCGAGTTGTTGATGGCGAACTCCGCCATCGGCATGCACTCGCTCCAGTGCTGGAACGAGTGAGCGTAGCTCTTAAGCACGTCTACAAGCACGCGGTTCACGCGCTCGGTCTGCCCGTCCGTCTGCGGATAGTCCGCAGTCGACATCGAAAGTTGACTCCCAAGAAGTGTAAACATTTCTTGCCAAAGGTGTGCAGTGAAGCGCGGGTCCCGATCCGACACAATGTCGATCGGCATGCCATGGTGTTTGAACACCATGTCAACGAACAGACGCGCCGTCTGCTTCGCAGTCACTTCAGCGGGTACCGCAGCAAAATGTACCATCTTGCTGAAGCGGTCAACAAAGACCACAACGCCCGTGTTCCCCTGGCTGTCCGGGGGAAGACCGAACACGAAGTCCAAAGACATGGACTGCCAACACTTTCGTGGAGTTGGTATTGACTGCAAGGGAGCCTGCGCGAAAGGCGCAGGCTTCACACGTTGACAAACCTCGCAAGCACGGACGTACTTGCGCACCCATTTGTACTGGTGGGCCCAGTAGAAGTCTCGCGTGAGAAGAAGGTATGTCTTCTCACGGCCCGGATGCCCGCAGTCGGTGCATCGTGATACTCGTACATGATCCTGAGTCGCAGGTCATGGTCATTGGGCACGACAACGCGGACCGCGTTGTCGTCGACTGCACTATAGAGTAATAACCCGTCGTGCACCCGGTAACTGTGTGCACGAGCACGAAGATGCTTCGGCAGCTTCTGACGAGCATGGTCAGAAGGCGCTGAGCCGTAGGCCAGCAAGAGCTTCGCGTCCGCGTCGTGCGCGTACGCGACCTTCACGTCGTCCAACAGTGACGACGTTGGGGTGCTCGATCGCATGGCGTCAATGGCATTGACGTCGGCATCAGTCGTGGCGTAGTCAGGTCGACGCGAGAGCGCGTCGGCCACCACATTGAGTCTTCCGGGTTTGTACTCAACCCGGAAGTTATACTCTGCGAAGAATGAGAGCCATCTCGCCATCCGTTGCGAGATGTGCGGCGACTTCACAGCCGTCCGCAGTGACGCGTGGTCCGTATAGACCACGAACGGTTTGCTTCCGAGTAGATACACTCGGAACTTCACGAGTGCGTACTTCATGGCAAGGAGTTCCTTGTCATGTACCGGGTAGTTGCGCTCAGCTGGCTTCAGCTGACGCGATTGGTAGTAGACGACACGATCACGACCCTCGTGATCGTGCTGCATCAACGCACATCCGATTGCGAAGTCGGATGCGTCACACACAACGTGGAATGGGCGATCTTGGTTGGCCACCGCCAAGATCGGCGCCTCAGTCAAGCCCCGCTTGACTGCATCGAAGGCCTGCTGACACTCAGCAGCCCAAACCCACTCGGCGTCCTTCTTCAGGAGCTGTGACAGCGGGCGTATCATGCCCGCGTAGTCCTTCACGTACTTGCACAAGTACGTGACCAAGCCAAGGAACTGCCGCAGTTCCTTGACGTTCGACGGCGTCGGCCACTCATTGATCACTCTGACCTTCTCAGGGTCAGGGCGGACACCGTTCTTCCCAACGAGACACCCGAGCACGGGTATCTCGCTCGCCCCGAAGATGCACTTCTTCAGGTTCGCATAGAGCTTGTGCTTGCGCATAAGCGCAAGCAGCTTCCGGAGATGCACCTTGTGCATCTCAACATCGCTCATCTCGTCCGCAGCCCGGCTGTGGACGAACACATCGCCGAAGTAGCTCGGTGCGAAGTCGCGCACCGAGCGCAACAAGTGCGTCACGCACCTGTTGAAGGTCGCAGGGGCGTTCTTCAGACCCTGCGGCATCACTAGCCACTCCCAGAGCATGCCGCTCGGCGTGCTCACAGCCGTGAGAGGGATATCGCTCTCACGCATGAGGATCTGATAGAACCCATCGCGCAGATCAAGAGCACTGTATATAGTGCTCCTGGCCATCGAATCGATGATGACATCTTTTCGCGGTATCGGTGTCTGCGCCGGTATCGTCGCATCGTTCAGCTTGTTATACGCATGAACGATGCGTCAGCCGCCCTGTGGTTTCTTGACACAGAACGTCGGAGCACTGTGCGGGGATTTCGATTCCCGCACTTGTCCAGCTTTGCGACGACTTCGAAGAAGTCGTCGATCGCTTTGACCTGCTCTCGCGGCAGTGGCCACTGCCGGTGACACAGTACTTCGTGCCCGGCACGAAATCAATCTCGTGCTGGATTCCCTTGTCCTGCGGAAGCTCCGCAGGAATCTCTTCCGGAAGTACGTCCGCGTACTCCCGTAAGATCTCGTAGTAGGGACTCGTCTTCAACGAGTCCCAGCTCTGCTCTTCAAAGCGCTCCTTCTTCATCTTTGCACTGAGAGTGTCTTCACTCTCAGTGGTGGTCTCCATGAAGAACTGCCTCAGTTCTTCATTCTCGCTCTTCGTTCTCTCGGCGTCCGAGAGAATGCATATTTGCTCGATGCGTCCATCGTGCAAGTCACGCGCGAAGCGCTTCCAGCTCATGACTGGAAGCGAAGTCAACTCCGACGCTTCGTCGGAGGGTTAGCGAGAGTCATCTCCCTGTACCGGAACCCGGCACAGGTACGCGTCAAGACGTTCAACGTCTCGACGTCCGGCTTCTCAGCCTCCGTCTGCCCGGCAGACATTCCTTGTAGCGTCTCGACCCCAGGCCGAGACTTGCGCAGCGACCTTCGCATGCGCCGTCTTCTTGTTTTGCGGAGCCCGGCTCCGCTTGGTTCTTGACCTCGTCCAGGCCCAGCCATGGACGGGTGTTCCTCTTCAATACCGCCGGCGGGTTCATCCCGCGGGCGAGCGACTTCAAGCCCGGCTTGGTCGCCCGGCGCTTCGTCGTGCAGCCCGGCTGCATGACAGCATGCAAGTTTTTCCGGTGCGGAACGTTTGCAACCGTCCGCACCGCCTGCAGCGTCGGCTTCCGGAGCCGACACGCCATCTTCACCTCGACGCCTGTTATTGGCGGAGCCCTCCATTACGGAGGGTGCGTCGGCTCCCCGAGCCGACGAATCAAATTCACCCAAGCCATCGACTCCCGGAGTCGACGGCGTTACGTCACCTTGGCTCTTATTATTGGCCAGACCTGATCCAATGAGCTTCGCGTCAGCCTCCACGGCTGAGGCGTGTGACTCGTCTGTGTCATCCGTGCCCCTTGAGGTTGGAGACTCTTCCTGATTCGCTGAAAAGCGGGTGTCGATCTCCGAGATCAACACATTTTCTCCTTCAGCCGTCGGCGGCGACGCCGACGCTTGCTGCTCTTGCTCGCGTGCGCCCAGGGCGCTCCTGGACAGCGGCATTAGGCGCTGTCTCGAGTGGGGAGTCGCGCGCACCTGTCGGTGCGTGCGTAGCGGCAACAGGGCCATCGCTCACTGTTCCGCTGTCGCGACCGAAGCGCACGAGAGTGCGCTTCTCCCAATCGATGACCGGACCATGCCGTGCAAGCCACGGCATGCCCAATACAATGTCAAACTTATCGTCCAGATCCAGGACGATAAAGGTCTCGACAAACTCTTGATCTTCGTACGTGACGCGCACGCGTACCATGCGCTTCTCGGTCTTCACGACGGCACCCGTTGCCAGTCGTACTTCCAACATACTTCGAGGTATCTTTAAATCCTCGAAGTCAAGCCTTGATAGACTTCGCAGTCGAACAAAGTTCTTCGACGCGCCAGAATCTACCAAAGCACGTAGAGAGCCACTTGCTCTCATCGAGTCCACATTCAGGATGACAAGGTCAGGCTTGTCATCTTGGTTCTTGCAGTGAGAATGAACCTCACTGGGGGCTGCAGTCCTCAGTGTCGCGTGTCCAAGGTCGACACGCGGAACTGCATTACCAGTAGGGCGCCCCGCGCCTACTGGCGTCCATCGTTTTTTGTTTGGTTGCGACGGTGCCCGGCACCGCCGCGATAGCCACCCTGCTGGTACACGGGGGCCGTGCACTCCCGAGCAAAGTGACCGACTCTACCACAACGGTAGCATCGCACATTGTTTCCCTGCGACTGCTGGGGTCCAGCAGTTGCAGCACTCGAGAGGTCCATGGGTTCTGGGCCTCCCGTCCTCACTACCGGGCGTGGCTGTGGCCTGGGCACATGTGCATGCAGCTTAGCCTACCGCAGGCTAGTCTCCTCCTGCATTGCAAGAGTAATTGCAGCTTCGAGAGTATTCGGATACTCACGGAAGAGATAGGTCTTCACAGGCCCATCTCTCAGCCCCTTCATGAACGTGACGACCTTGGTCGCCTCGTCGATCGGATTGGTCACGATGTTCGAGACCAAGTACCGTGCTCTCTGAGCGTAAACATGGACATCATGCTTGCCCTGCTGCAGGTCGAGGAACTCCGCCCTCGACCCGAACTCGTTTTGCAGTGGCTCAAACGCTTGTCTGAGCTCTTCCTTGAAACCCTCGTACGTGCTAAAGCACGTAGGATCCGAGAGTCGGCGTTCATACGCCCAACTTCTTGCACGTCCGCCAAGACATGACATGGTGAACGCGACCTTCGACAACGGGTCGACGATGCGTCGAGCCGCAATGGCAGTGTCGAGTTCGACAAGCCAACGGAGGAGAGGCTCGCCCTCTCTTCCAACGTAATTGCTCACGCTGAGCTTCAGCGATTGCGCGCGCGGTGTCGTCCCCGACGACACCGTGGTAGACGAAGCAGCATCTCGCTGCTCCCTCATGATGAATCCCAGAGCAACACCATGTTGCTCTGTCGGCGTTAGCGTACGCAGCATCGTAGCTACAGCCGCCTCACCAATGACTGTTGACAGTCGTTGGAGAGCTTCCCACACTGGGTCCGACAGGTGGGGACAGACAGCGCGTGCATCGTGAGTTACAGGCGTAGTGGAGCTTTCCATGGACACCTCCGTATCCATGGGAAGGTTCTCAGCTCCGCGTTCGTGCGGTGACGTACGAACTCAGGTAGTCGGTCGTTGGACGGACTACAAAGTGCTACCAGGTGTAGTGGACCTACTTTGGCTCACTACTTTAGCTTACACGTGTGCGCGTGTATGTGAGGAAGCGTAGCTTAGTTTAAATTAGAGTTAATTATACTCGGGCCTTCGAGTATAGATTAATCTAAATAAACGATCCAGATAATGTTTTTGGGTTAAAATGAGAACTGCTATTTTTGTTTTATGTTTCTGACTTCCTCTAAATGTAATATTCTAAGATAGGAATCTGCCAACGGCTGGTTGGCAGAATTCCAATGCTATGCATGTCGCTCATTGGCTAAGAGATGCTGCCCTCAGCCAATAGGAATCCTAAGTCTCTATGGACCACCCGTCGTGGTGGTCGTAAATGTATGTAGCCTTTGGTGTATCTACACCAAGGTCGAGGAAGTCTTTCGAACCCCTAACAGACGTCGTGTCTGTTAGAGTTACAAGTGACTGTAGCCACTTGTGCGTGTAACCCTGTTACACTTGGTCTCTCCGCCGTCGCTATAGTTGCCGCCATCCTTGCTCTCTGCGTATCTGTCGTAGTGATCGCTTGACCACGACGCGACGCATTCTTCTACCATAGGTCTACGAAGGTCTTGCTGAAGTCCCTGATCGCTAAGCCGGGGCACGTGACCTGGCCAAGTTGCTCCTTACTTTGGCGGATGAGGCTTGATCGAGCTAGTGACTCGTGTGCAGTAGCTAACCGTGCTAAGGTTTCGACAATTTTTTCGCCGGTTGAAAATCGCTTAGACATTGTACCCGTTGGTTTCGATTCGGCACGCGTCTGCACCTCGGCACGCGTCTCTTCCACGTCGGCATCGTTGTGGTGTTGGTGGTGTCAGTATCGCTGGCGTCGCTATCGTCGCTCGCGCCACTGGACAAGTCTTCTGCTAGGGGGGTTTGGTGTCAATGTCTGTGCTCTAGGTAGTGTCAATTGCCTTGCCGTCATATGTGCTGCTAATGCTCCTGTCGCCGCGCCCGGCGAGAAAAGCGTGTCGAGTTGTCGATACATGAACCGTGGGCGCGTCTGAAATTCCCTGGCTTGAGGGTGAACCGCGATCTACAAGAGCAGGTCGGTATGGTTCAAGCATCGTTCGTTGTTCACAATTTCATTCGTTCGCATAATGATCCGTTTGCCGATGCTGAAGCGACAGCACGAAGAAGAGAGGCTGAAGAAGAGGACAGTGCCGGCGACGAGGACACCAACGAGTCCGACCAGGTAGCGATGACAGAACTACGCGATCACATCGCCTCAGAGGTGTGACGCGACTACTGGACGGATGGAGAAGTCGTAGTGTAGCCTACACTACACTGTGTAGGAAAGCTATGCAAAGGCATACTACGTAGTTCTTTACAACTCCTGCTTCATCGCACTGACCGGCACAATGAGATACCGCCGTTGGCGTAGAGCGAGTAGGATGGCGAAGTCAAACAGCCTGAAGTGCTGGCCATTGATGATTCACAAAAAAGATAAATATGCACTTTTACGGATGGCTTCTGGTCAATCCGCCAAACGAGAGGGCTGTCCGCCCAAATTCGGGAGGATTAAATCCGCTGAATATCCGCCAAAAAGATGCCTCTTGTGTTCCTCAAACGCAACAGCGGATTGTATAATCCGCCAAAACGTACATATCCGCCAAAACGACCCAAATCCGCTGAAATTCCTGTCTGAGGAACACACCCTTGGTACCCCCCTTAATTTTTATTGATTACTTTCCTTATTGTGCCTTTCACAGCTGAGCCTAGCGACAGCATAATGTGGCAACGCGAAAACGCCATACATTAGTTAACAGTCGCAAAAAAGTCTGTCTTAGCGGATGATGCTCAGTATTGCAAAGTTCTACTTTAAACCAAGTTCAGGTATATTTTCAATAGATTTGTGTATTATCTAAAATAGTGAGTCTATTCGAATAAAATCTGTCTCGGAACAAATCACAGCTCCGCCTCATGCCGTAGGCTTGTAAGGATTGTGAAAACACATCCAGCCTCCTAAACATATATAATTTGAAAGGATTTGTCCATCAGTTGTGTGACCATTTTTTTCTTCTGGAGGTCGACAGCATGCGCTACGCTATCAACCCCCAGATTTTTCATGATAACGAATTCAACACAAACGACTAGAACATGCCGACTGGGCTCCCGGCTTGAATAATTTCGAGTGACCGCACTAACATTTAGCGAAGTATTGTATTATATATGGATTAGAATGCGTATCACTAAGTTCAGCCGAAGATTTTGCGAAATAGTTCATATTTATTCCGTTTTTCTGGCATGTGTTGATGCACGTCAGTTGCACTGAAGGTGACTGAGTTAGAATCGAAAATATCACTGTTTAGAATAATTATGTCAAAATATTGCAATAACTCAAGTGTTCACAACAGCCAGAATTGTCCAGGAAATAGCACTGATATCTAAGTTGCACAGTAATAACTCGCAAATACTTCACGTTTTCAGCCAGTGGTCTATTACATTACATTGTGCCTTTCACATATTTTGGCGGTTGAGCTGTTATTGTGGAAACCGATTATATTGTCTAATTGGAATATAATTCGGTTGATTAAGCAGATGATTAAGCTTAATCGGGTCGGATTTAGCAAATCCGACCTCATAATTAGATCGACAGCCTAAGATTTGTACTCTGATTTGACAGAGCAGTCTGTTGTGCCTACATCACCATGTGGCAAGCTGATTTAGCTACTCCACGACTTACAAAGCCTTGGATGGCTGATTTGCATGCTAATCAGCCCGAACGTTCGACACCCACTCGGCATTCGGCGGCTGATTTAAAGTAAAACCGACAAACGCTAATGCTGACGAGAAATGACAGCGCAAATACAAGACTTCACAACTTGATAAATAGATAGCAGTACGTATCGACTGCTCACAGAAGCGTATTTAATGCACGCGATGCTATTCCTCGTTAGTAGGTGAACGAAACATTAGCTCGTGGCGGTAAGTGGTCGTTCCTCGCATTGCAGGCGGTAATGAGGCAACCCCTATTTTATTTATCTTACACCGATTTATACCCTTACCGATGCCATATGAAATCATAGGAATCCCCGATTTAGTACTAGTCAAATCCCTCACGAACGCTGCTTTATCAGCTAATCCGCTCGGACAATCTAATCGGTTTCCACAATAATTCAGGCGGCTTCAATATTGATGACCAACAAGCAAAGCTGAGAAGCCACCATGCGTCTGCAGCTATCCAGCTATCCAAACACAGACACGACCTCGTGTCCTCGGTGCAAAAGCTGAGCGATAGCTAACTTGCAATTTTACCACGGAAGGTTGAGGACTCGGACTTGAAAGGGCTCTTGACCTCCGCATTGCAATAGTATATGCGTCTAAGTGAGCCATGAACGCGAGAGTAACACGGTAATCGCGAAGTCCACGCGAAGCGCATGCTTCTGCCCAAAATACAAAATACTCAGAGTGGCGACAAGTCATGCCGGCCATTCTGACCGCAAGGAGAACGAAGCGTTAAGGTGCGACTGGGTGGTATGCAGAAGATCCAATTGAACGCCGTCCTTGACCTGCTTTATTGAGCACAAACGGTCTTCACCTGTTGCTATGTTGGTTGAAAGAACTTCGAGGAGCTCGCTCGGCTGAGCACCGGCGTGCAGTATAAGACATCGCAGGCGCCGGTCGAAGAAAGAAGGAATATCGTGTTTATGAATTCATCTGGAGCTTCTATTTGCTTGCTGTGGTTATGAAATCCTCGCTTAGATGGCAGGTTTCAGGTGTGTTCACGCTGCCCGAGTCGTGCAGGGAAGCTGTGGCTCAGCCCTCCATTTTCATGTGTTGATGAAGAATTGTTTTCAGAGCTCCTGCATGGTATTTGCCCAACTGGATCGATGGCTTGCTCGGACACGATCCCTGAGTACCTGTTGGTTTTGAAAGAAAAATGCTCCACGTTGTGGACAATCGTGTCGCACTACAGTGTGACGGTTCTTTTGGAATTCCTGCATCTGCACAAGAGTAATGTAATGGCGACTGGTTATTGCAATCATGTGATAGTTTGGTTATGTAACCGTCTGAGTGGCAGCAAATCTTTGCCAGCGCCTACTGGCGGCAAACAACTTTGGGTTGCTGCCTATTAGTGGTTCAGATCACTACAGCTTCGTCATCATTGAGAATCCGCTGAAACCTACTGGAACGCTCTGATACCACATTAGCTCGCTACGTGGTTATCACAACTCGGCATCTGTTTTGGATACGCTGACGTGAGGCTTTGCTCGAGAGGCGAAACAGGGTAGCAGAGAAACCAGTGTGGCGCTACAACTGTTAGCGTACAAGATAAGCCCTTTTCAATCGAATTCATTAGACTGCGGGATGTATATGCTACACTACATGCATAAGGTAGCCTGGTCCATCTCATGAAAAAGCTCCGACTCAGTAGCAGAGAAGATGATATCGCTGACAAGCGGCAGCTTCGATGTGACCAAGGCAGAACGCTCGAACTCGGCACTACTTGAGGCACTACAGAAGGGTAAGCTTGAAGTAACTGTGATTGAGTAAACTGTGTCGGTTGGTCCCTCTAATAGTTCGCACCTCCTTGCCAAGCCGCGTAGCCGTCCAACGTCAATATGATCCTATGGTCGAGTTAATCTGCAATAGAGAGAAGCAGTAATCTGCCCGAGTAAGGAACGCCTGATATCTCTAAGACGCAGAATATATAAGTTGATGTTACGTTGAGTATGTTTTCCAAATAATACAATGGATGATTCCTTGGTCCATGGATTGAATCTTGGCGGTGGTGTTGGGGGGGGGGAGGGCAAATTCTCGTCCATGTTAAAAAAATTTTGAGGTAGGTAGGGGTTCACAATGCCCTTGAGTCTCTCGATCTCGTCCGTAGCGGTGTCCAACTTCACCGAGTCGGACCCCCCCAGGAACGGCGCCACTCAAAGCCATACCGCTCTTGGAAACGGCGAAGCCATGAGGCTCCGAGCCGGGGACGCGGTGCTGCCGGGATCCCGAGCTTCACGACGAGTTCGTGTGCATGTTGAACGGTCATAGCGCCCGAGAGGCACACACCTTCCGCTTCGCCGAGTAGGACGTACTCGGCGACGTTCTGGCCGAGCAGGGTGTGAGTAATGGGCTGGGCATTCTTGCGGGCAGCCTTCTCCAGCGGCCGCCCCAACAGGACTGCACTTGACTTGATTATGCTGCATATCGTTGTCTTACCGGGGACGGCCGGGGGGCTGAACTCCGTCACAGCATGCTCAGCCAGGTCCCTGTAGGAGATAACAGGTGTGCGAGCTGCATTGTCGAGGATGCCCACTTTCTCGGACCAAGTGAGGCGGAGACGCTAGGACGGTGTGGACTTCATGGGTGGAGCGGGTGAGGAGGTGGGCTTGTGGGACGGGGTGCAAAAGCAAAAGTGCGAGTCTACCACTACGGTACATGTAGTTTGAAGTCTAGTAAGATCGCCAAAAGCGTACCATTTTTTAAATGAGGGTGGAGAGCTGATGATGGCACTGAATTTTTTCACCTCAGTACCTTGCACATCCCCCTATCGCCCAATCGACTGGAAAATAATATTAAATATGTGAGGCATTTAGCTGTATACCCGTTCCTTATTCGGGCAAAAACGGAGTGCGGAGTGCCGCCAAAAGCATATGTTTTAGTACTTGTTGCCTTTTGACATAATTGTAAATATTTACGTTCTAGCTGCATTAATGCATGTTATCGGCTACTGAAAGCGGCGTGTGAATCAGGCTTTGGTATAACGTTAGTTTATTTTCCGTTTATTTTATCCGTCGGTACCACATTATCCAATCCGACGAGATGAACTACACGTCTCAAACTTATGTAACTCAATGAATGTGTTACAGTAGTACACATCTCATCCAGTTCAGGCAACATAGACGTGAGGGACCGATGAGCTCATGTTGATTGTTTTAGCGAATGATCACATATTATACGTCGGGCATATGGAGGAGGTGCGACGGTTTAACTTGTTCGATCGAGATACCGGGGCGGTGTAAATGAAACCTTGTATCCTGGAGTGTGTGTGCTTGTGGCGAGATCTCCAATCCCCCCCCCCCCCTCACCATACACACAGCAATATCACGATTAAATTCTCTCTAGCTACCTAAGAAGTCATACTAGTTCGTAGATATGATCATGGTTGGGGGTGAAGGTAGCTGACGGGCCGATAACTAAAGGTAGCTCGCTCGTTCGTCGATTCCCTGTGTAGCAACATTTAACCCTGTTTATGAAACAAAATAATATATCACCACTGCTGAGCCCAGCCGTCACCACAGTTCATCGCATGATTGATATAGAGCAGAACTAGAGCACGGTGACATTAAATTAAATCATTCCCAGCTTCAACGTAAGCCCAGACAAGCACATCAACGTCCGCTCGTAGTGATCCCAACGATACCTCGATATATTTGAATCCACACTATCCCACTAACAGCTCAAAGCTCTGCATCGGTGCATTTCAGTGGGGATCGTGTTACGCGGTGCTGTCACTAAAATTTGGGTCATGGGACCAAAACCCGGGAATTGCCCATATTGTGGAGTTCGCGGATTGGTGGAAATGTGTTGGTCAAGAATGATGACCACGGTACCAGATAAGTGGTACATTCTTGGAACCCGACAATCGTGCCTGGGATTCTGAGAGTTCGTGCTGGACTTGGAGCCGAATAAAAACAAGAGTATGTTTGTGGCGGACGTGAGACCCCGGAAAGCAGGTCGGCGTAGGCGAATGGATCACGTTCCTAGAAGTGCACAGGAATGTGTGCGACCTTCCCTACGAATCTGCGCGAGGCGGGACTCGACTCTGGGTTACGACCTGAGAACTGAGGCACTTCTCAGATTCCCCGTTGCTTTCCCAGAATAACGACTCCCAACGTTCGTGTCCTCAGACTTACTTCCCACAAAAGCCCAAGAACAGCCTCTGTGCGAGGCGTTTCAAGGCTCCAAATCCAAGAACACTTGGTTTCACTATGGCATCTTCCAAGATCCGAGGTGTACCCAACAACTCCGAGAAGGTATCCAGTCTGGCGACCCTTCAAGGTCAGACCAACACTCCGCCGAAAGATCGCAGTCTCCGAGGAGTCGCTTAGGAAAGATTTCGTCTGCATGTGACCTTTAACCAAACAGAGTTCGTTTTGCTTCGAAGGGCACAAGTGCTTCTTTCACAGCCTGGAAGGCCGTTCTCCACGACAAAATTCAAAGTACTTTAGGTAAGTGATCCACTGCTTCGGCCTGGAGGTGATCATATCTATTCCATATCTGTATATTTAGCGGATTGCAGACCGTCTTTGTTGTATATTTGCGGTCTATTGGGCCTGTGTCGAACTGAAGAAGTTGGCGACAGGGTAGATCGTTTCCTCTCTCCGAGAGGTGGTGCGCGTCCCCAAGATTGATCAAGTGTCTTGGATTTGGACCAGTTGACTTGTGTTTTGGCCTTAGCCTTGGGCCTAGAGAAAGAAGAGAGGGCAAAGAAGTATTTGTGTGATTGTATAACGTGTATAACTCTATTCGGGTTGGATTGTTCCAGCGTTAGCCCGGCGTAGCTGTCTGATTCACGGGGTCGATACTAACCTCCTGGTGAAAAGAACCGTTACCCAAGGGATACACATCGTGTGCCTGACCAACAGCGTGTACTGGACAACACACACCCTGTGCCAGCCGAGACGGATCCAAAGCTGTAGTAGCCTGAGGTCTGTCAAGGAGGGCCTATAACTGTTTTCTGAAAGAAAACACCGCATCGCCTCGTCACAGCTGGTGCGCGTGCCCGGATCAGGGGTTGGAAGTTGAACGTGCATTGTAAGAGTTATGCCTACTAACGCTAACGCGATTGTGCCTGCTTCGAGTCCTGGAGGACGCGGACGAGGTCGTGGACGCGGTCAAGGTGCTCAACGAGTGTCAAGACCGCTGCAACGCCCTGTTCCGCCACCGGGGCCCGGACAAGATCCTGCGATGTCGACGGAGACCGAACAACAACTGGCGCTGGCCGAACCAGCGCGCCCGACATCGACCCATTCGACGCCAAGACGAGCTTCTCAAGTGACGGTTCCCCGTTCTGTGCAGTCCAGCCCTGGACGGCCCCGACCGTGGTTCCGACGCTCAAGCAGCACGTCTACCGACGGAGTTGGCGCTGAGCCCTGCGGCTGCAAGCGCTCTTGGAAAACGTGATCATGTGGCGCTGCGAGAGTGGCGCGAGACGAGGGTCCCGGATTCCGGTGCACCACTACGTCTTGGGCCTGCTCCTGGCACTCGTGTCTTCGGATCTGAACTGCCAACCACGCTGCACTCGACGTTCCAAGATCCGCTTCCGCTGATTCCACGGGGCACGAGTGAAATCCCAGTATCCGACGTAAACTGTCTTGCTGACGACGAAGCCCGAGCGTATGGAGCCGAACAACTGAGCCGCTGGAGCTCTCTTCCAGGAGAAGTCATCTCTCCAGTCGACGTGGTCTACGACGAGGGAGAAGAAGAGTACGACATGGAAGCTTGGGGCTTCGCCGCATTCGAGACTGGGAAATACTTGGGTCTTGTGAACGCTGGTCGGACTTCCGAGTCTTGGATCAAGGCGTTGTCTGCCAAACGCAGACGGCAACCGCTGGTCTCGGATATGAAGGCCGTCACCGTATCGCCCAAGTTGCTTCTGGCTGCTGCATGCGTCGCTGTGCTCGAGACCATGTTGATGGAGGCCGACTTCGAGTTTCGCAATGCGATTCCTACGTGGAGTGAAGTCCGTGCGGTGTCCGAGGTGTCTGAGAATCTGATCCGCCGAGGTGTTGAAGAAGTTCAACTCAGACTCGCAGTTGAGAGTCTTGAGTGGAACAAGCTGATGGATGGCGTAGGGTTTCACATCCGACAGCCGCTGGAGCCTCTCCCAGCTGTGCAACTATCCGAGCGAAGTACAAGTTCCCCGACTGATGCCGATGGAGACGTCCTAATGACGGACGACGCTGTGGAACTGCTTGGCGAAGAATTGTTGCGCCGCTTGAGGATCACGCGGACCAGAAGAAGAAGTCCTGCTTCAAGCGCGTCTGGACAACCAGCGCCCAAGCGTGCGGCCTTAGAAGCTGAGCGATCTCCGCCCAGTTCCCTGATGCCGCCGACATCGTCGTCCCAGAGTCTGGTGCCCCAACCATCGGTATCCCAGAACGTCGTGCCTCGGACTCAGAACCTAGTCCCTAGAGCTCCAAGTCTTGAACTGATGGCGAGTGTGGACTCAGTTCCTAGTCTGGTGGGACCAAGTGGTGCTTCCGACGAGTCGATGAACGCGGCCGTTGAAGGAACAGACCTGTCGGGGCACAGCTCCTCAGGATCGTCGTTCTTGTCCGCCGCGGACTACATGGTTGGCAGTGCCTTGAGTCATATGCCTGGACCAAGCCCGATGGCGATGGTAATGTTGCGCAGGAGAGCGCGGCTGCGACAGCTGCCGACCCGGGTTTCGGTATCTCGGCAGGTGCTGTGTGGTATCCAGTGCCGGTTTCAGCACTCCCTGCGCCTTCGCTGCAACCCCTTCAGGAGTTGCCTGCGCATGTACCGCTGCCCGAGTCATCAGAGAGCAGCGCAAGTCTCCAGCCAGAACACTCGACGCAACCTGCTCCCGGGTTGCATCCAACGTCGTTGCCCCCTCCAAGCTTCGTGTCTTCCACCACACCCGCAGCCGGCATGAACCGTGGCGTCTCCACATCAAGTGCTATGCCACGGACTCAAGCCACTTCGACAAAGGTCGCGGACCCGGAGTCTGAGAAGAAACCACAGAAGTCCGTGCATTCTGGGAAGTCATCGCGATCCCGGAAGTCCGCCGCGAAATCTGCGTCGTCCAAGTCTTCGATGTCAGGAATCTCCTCTCGTGTGTCGTCCTCGAGGTCGTCGCGTTCCGGCGCGTCCGAGGTCGCCCTGGTCATGATGAGGCAGCAGGAGGCCGCCCTCAACCAAGTACGCGCCGACATGGCTGCCGAGTTGCGTGGCATTCGCCTAGACAACCAGCAGCAGACCGCTTCCCTCATGGAGCGTCTTCAACGGAGCGAAGAAGCCCTTGCCGCCGAACGTGAGTCCCGCGTCGCGACGCCGAAGTTGCTGAAGCTCGGGTTGCTGCCGCGGTGAAGGTAGAGCAGTCCCCAGTACCATCGTCAGTGCCTGCACCCGAGATGGGGCGCGGCACACTTATTCCCCCCGAAGCGCCATTGCCGACTGCGGCCCTGGACGCCGCCACCGCTGCTGTGTTGGTGGTAGTCGAGGAAGTGAAGGCAAAGAGTGGGGGCATCGCGCAGAGCACGAATGCCCATTTGGCCGCATTCGAGGACCAGTTGCGCAATGTCACGTCCGCGTATC